ACAAAAAGGAAGGGTTTATGTTTTACATAAAAGGAATACTTAAAATGTGAAGGTTTGTAAATAGTCTAGTCTATGATGATGTTGGGACAGAGTCTGATTTCTATATAGAAATTACTTTTTTTTTTTATTCTTATTGTGCAAAATCTGTGCTTCTAGAGTATGGAAAATGGCTTGGGGAGGGTGGTCCCCAGCATATGAAGACTGTTGTGTTATTTGTTCAATTTCAATAAAATTATTTGTAGATCCTGCAAATGAGTATGGCATCCTCTGGACAGTGTCTAGACTACTTTCTGGGATCAACAGGTAGGCCTGGGCCCAGGACTCTGGCAGGCTTACCATTTCCTGCATGGACCTAGAAAAAGCCTGAGCTCTAACTGTGGCAACTCCAGCTGTGGCCAGCAGGTGGCCATGTATTCACACTGGGCCTGTCGGGATGCGGGTACTACTTACCTGTCTTATTGTCATCAGAGTGGTGGAAATCCCTGGAATCAGAGGTTGTAGTGTTGCTTCACTAGGAATTAGTCCCACCTGACCTAAGGTGAGAGTATGACCCTAGATAGTTCTGGTCCCAATATGCTAGCTGACCTCAAGTGAATTGATATCCTGAGCCCCAGGGACTTAAAAAAAGGTCCAGACATGCATGGACAGTATACTGCCAGGCATATATAAACTTCATCTGCTTCTTCTCCTCCCAGACCACCACTGGGAGAGTGAGCTCTGGACTTCCTTTCCAACCTTCAGTACTTCCTTCTGTTCTCTGCTGCCTGTGCTATGGACTCCCCACCACTACCACCACCACCACACACATACACACTAGGGATTGAACTCAGGGCCTCTTGCATATTATATAAACATACTACCATGAAACTATATTACCGGTCCATTAAAAAAAAAACAAAACAGGTTTTTGCTAAATTGCCTAAGCTGGCCTTGAATTTATGATCTTCCTACCTCAGTCTCCTGAATGGATGTGATTACAGCCTCCTGAATAACACCACCACACCTGGCTTGCCTGTGAACATTCTGCCTACAGGGCCTGCTGTGAAGCAGGTTTTCTGCTAGGCCATCAGTTCAACTCCCAGTTAAGAAGGGGGAAATTCAAGGACCCAGGCTTCTAGGTTTGGGAAACTGGCCTACCAGTCTTTCAGAGGCTTGAATTTGTCACATCTGGAGTAGGATCACTCTGTGCAGCCTGGACTTGAAGTTCTGTGAGCTGTCTTCCCATTCCCCTTAAGATGCCAAACCTAAGGCCCTGTCATCCTCCACTCCTCCCTACTGTCTGTTCAAAGGCCAGCGCTCTCCCATAACAAACAGCATTCTATCTCCCACCATCATTATCCCAGCCTGGAGGAACTCCCTGTGCTCAGCCTTCTCAGCTGACCCCAAAGTTGGAAACAATGGGAGTCAGGCAGTGCTTCCCCACTCCCTCCCACTGGGCTGTAATCATTTCCTTCCTGCTGACAGCTTGAGGAAGTGTCCCTGCCCTGGGACAGTCTGGTCCGGCCTTTGTTTTCCCAGGGGTCCCCACCCTGGTAGCTTCCTAGGCCTCTGTCCCTTCTGAAGCCAGCACAGTGGTACAGGGACACTGCACCCACTCTTGTCATATCCTGGACTCCTGGGTCCTCACAGCCAGACTCCAGATTATGCACTCACCTCCCCCAGACTCCCACACAGCCAGAAGAGGGGCCCTGTGCATTGGAGAGGTGAAGCCAGCCACATGAACGTCCCCTCCCAAAGAAACACCCCGCTTCTCTCTCCACTTTGGCAAAGAGCCACTCTGTAGTGGACTCAGTGAAATCTACCCAGGAATGTCCTCCAGCTGGATAGCACTCTGCAGGCCCTGCCCCACCCCTATCCCACAGTCACACACATCAAGCATTGTCCTCTCTGTCACACTTGAGACAACTTCTGCTCTTGGTGGAAAAAAAAGAAAAAAAATTGACCCAGCTCCCGGAAGTTCCCCCAACCCTCTCCCCCATCTCCCAGGATTGGTTCCCTTATTTGGCACCTGCTGTAGGAGGCCATCAGTTGAACACCCCCCAGATAGTTTGACTCTCCCAAAAGACCACGGCCTGTACCTCCTCACACCCTACTACATGAGAATGAGCCCAAACCCCAAGGAAAAGTTGGTGAGGAGAGTTAAGGAAATTGTGGGCCTCGGGGAGACTGACTCCTGATCCTGGAGGCTCATAGCCTTCCTGTCACCTGGCACAGCTGGTGAGGCCAGATCCTGCGGGAGAAGGGTGGGGAGGGCAGCCAGCCAGGAGAGCAAGCCAGAGGAAAACAGGGTCAAGGCAATCTCCTCCCCTGCGCCTTTCCTGGCCTTTTCCTCTCAGAGGGGCAGCAGGAAGTGAGGAGAAAAGGCTGGAATGGGAGGCGGGAGCTGGTGGGAGGGAATGGGGTTTATCAAGTCGCCAGCGGGCTGCCTAGCGGGCAGCAGCTGGTGAAAGTATCCTGGCTGGAGAAGTTCACTCCAGGAAGGAGGGAGGCCGCCGACCTACCGGGCCGACGGACTCCCAGACAGGTGAGCCCAGCGCAGACTGCAGAAGGCTGGTAGTCTCCGTTGCCATAGATGGGCTTGCTGTAGCGCTACCTATCTCTCCTCTCAGGCCCGGGGCGGGAAAGGGGCTGGCGGCGCAGACGCGGACCTTTGAGGGAGCGGTCTCGCACTGCGGAGCGGATTTAAGAGGCGAGGTCTTGCACAGGGCTCGTCCTGGTCCAGCTCCAAGCCTGCTCCCCCATCAGGAGGAGCCTGCGATACCTAACCAAAGCCTCGGGGGGTCCCTACAGTTGGCTTTATCCAAGGTCTGGCCAGAAACTTCAGTTAAGAGTGACTCCCTTATGAAGTTATGAGGGAGATCCCGGGGAGTTCCCAGGGACTGGGCAGGAGCGGATCCCAAGGATTGGCCTGATCCTGATATGGGCCGGGAGGACTCGGGGCACCCCACCTTCCCCCTGGGACCCGCCAAGCTTCCCTATCCCAACCCTTCCCGCCTCGCAGTGACCCACAGTCGAGGTTGCCAGACAACTGCTGCCTCTGCCTTACTAAGACTAGGGCTAAGAAGTGGTGCTTGGCCCCTTACCCGAGACGGGCAGTGGGCGGGGCTTCCCTTCAGACCGCAGCCAAGAGGACAGGATTCGGGATTCGTAGGAGGCGGGGCATTACTGTTCTTGGAGGCCCCATCGGCTCAGGTCAAAGTCCTTTTCTCAACACAAAGGGGCCCCAGTGCTGGCGTCTACTACATTCGAGGTTGCAAAGTTCGATGAGCAGCTGCCTCAGTCAAGGCCTCGGAGTACTACAGCACCTCCTTATGGCCGAGCGGGGGAACGCCACCGTCCTTTATTCCATACACCCGGCTTCCCCCTCCCCGCCCTTATACTGTCCCTTTAAGAGGTTGACTCCACAGAGAAGAAGAGAGGATTGTACCACCAGCAACGGACTGTGGGGAGAAAAATCTCAGGCCGACTGACACTAGTGGCTAGCACTTGAACGAAAATCCTCGTTAGAAGGGGCTTCAGGTCTCAAATAGATGGTCACGTTTCTCTGCAGAGGATCTAGGGGATCCTCCAACCTGAAACTTAGCACTGGCGACGAGAAAGGCAGACACACCTACCCGCCGGGAACCCAATCCTGTTCCCCGCCCACCGCGGAGCTGGACTCTTAAAGGGCCAGAGGGCCTGGGGGCGGAGAGGTAGCAGAGGTGCTGAACCAGTGCCGGGCTTGAGCGAAGGGCCGGAGCGGCTAGGCTGGGCCCAGGATGGCGGCGGCCCTGGCGCGGGTCCCGGTGGCGCCCCGCGTGAGGTGAGGGCGGGCGGTGCAAACCTACAGCTCTCCCCTGGCGGGCTGAGCTCTGAACTCCCGGGGGTGCTCCCAGAGAGGGGGCCTAGAAATCTCACCCCCACCCTGCGGGGCTCTGACCCCACGTGCGGGGCGGGGGCGGGGTCCCCGCACAAAGGCCAGGCAAAGTGCCCTCTACCCGGGACCCATCGGTCTCGTTGTGGGCGCGCGCGCATTCCCCGTGGCTACGGAGGGAAAAGCAGGTCTGTCCGCTGGGCTGTGGGAGATCCACTGTCCCTTTGTCCCCGCGGGCCCTCCTCCAAGCCTGAGAGAGTGCCTGCGTATACGACTAAGTCCTGACAGCGGGTGTTGCACAGATACAGCTCGGTGGCTGGGTTCTTTCCAGCTTCCTAGCATCTGTATGAGTTGCGTTCTCTAACCAAATGCTTAGTTTCTCTGGATCAAGGGTTCCTCTCCGGGTACAGGGTGAAGTTCAGGGCTTTAGGGTTCACTGAAACCATGCACTGGAGGTTTGCAGGACATGTATAGGTTCTGGCAGCAGGTCCATAGCTTCATTCATTCAGTTCCCAGAAGGGTCACAGACCTAACAGATTCTTGACCAGCCATAGGCTACCTGTTCCACGAAGGAGCCATATGCTCCTGGTAGTGAGTCCCCAGGATACCTTGCCTGTCCTTCAATGGCCTGTTGTCTCTCAAACCTGTTACAGCTGTGGATGGTTCTGAACCGCCAGGGGTACTGTGCCCCACATAGCATTGGGGCACTTTTGGAGCATAGATGGGCTTAAAGTGGGTACCTCCAGGATTCTCTAGACTGATTTTTTTCTCTCCCACCCTTCATTTAGTTCCTAAGCTGGTGCCAAGCAGGTGACACTTCCTGTAGCCCCCAGCATGCTGGCAGGCCTGGGCCCCACCATCACACTGGCCGTGGTGCTAGCAGTGGCATGGGCCATGGAGCTCAAGCCCACAATGCCACCCATCTTCACAGGCCGGCCCTTTGTGGTAGCATGGGATGTGCCCACACAGGACTGTGCCCCACGACACAAGGTGCCACTGGACCTGAGTGCCTTTGATGTGGAGGCTTCACCTAATGAGGGTTTTGTGAACCAGAATATCACCATCTTCTACTACGACCGTCTAGGCCTGTATCCACACTTTGATTCAACTGGGACATCGGTGCATGGTGGTGTCCCACAGAATGTTAACCTCCGGGCACACCTACAGATGCTGAAGAAACCTGTAGAGCACTATATTCGCACCCAGGAGCCTGCAGGGCTGGCAGTCATTGACTGGGAGGACTGGCGGCCTGTGTGGGTGCGAAATTGGCAGGACAAGGATGTGTACCGCCAGTCATCACGCCAGCTGGTAGCCAGTCGGCACCCTGATTGGCCATCAGACCGAATAGTCAAACAGGCACAATATGAATTTGAGTCCAATGCACGGCAGTTCATGCTGGAAACACTACGCTATGTCAAGGCAGTCAGACCTCGGCACCTCTGGGGCTTCTACCTCTTTCCTGATTGCTATAATCATGATTATGTACAGAACTGGGAGAGCTACACAGGCCGCTGCCCTGATGTTGAGGTGGCCCGCAATGACCAGCTGGCCTGGTTGTGGGCTGAGAGCACGGCTCTCTTTCCCTCCGTTTACCTGGACGAGACACTAGCTTCCTCTGCTCATGGCCGCAACTTTGTCAGTTTCCGTGTTCAGGAAGCCCTTCGTGTGGCTCACACCCATCATGCGAACCATGCACTCCCAGTCTACGTCTTCACACGGCCCACCTATACCCGCACGCTCACAGGGCTTAGTGAGGTATGTTCCTTCCAGAGTGCTGCTTTCTTCCTCCTTCTGGGAACCACTGTATGTTTGGTTACTAGGGCCGAGGTTTGCTGGCTATTCCATGTCTCTTCAAATAACTATATATAGGAGCTGAGGGCATATGGCTCATTGGTAGAGCACTTACCTAGTACACACAAGGCCCAGGGTTCAATCCCCAGCACCACAAAAATAAAATAAGCTTAAAAAATTATTAAATGTTATAGTATTAAATATAATGTTAAATGTTATAATATTAAAATTATAATATTGTGAAAGGATGACATTGTTATGTAGATAAAATTGAGGCACAGAGACATTAAGAGGTTTGCCAAAAATCTCCAGCAATACCAGTCACAGCAATACATGCCTGTAATCCCAGCAACTCGGGAGGCTGAGGCAGGAGAGTTGCAAATTCAAGGCCAACCTGAGCATCTTAGTGAAACCCTGTCATAACATAACAGGCTGGGGATATAGCTCAGTGATAAGCTACACTATGTCAATTCCCAGTACCCCCCCCCCAAAAAAAAAAAAGCCTTCAGCAAATCCAGGACAGTTTAGAGACTTGGATCCAGGTATTCTGACTTTGGAGTCTATCCTGGTAGATACTCTGTAGACTCATGTATACTCTTGGCCTGGGAGATTGAGGCCCAAAGTGGGGTTGGAAATGAGCTTAAATATTTAAGGAAAAAGTAAAACAGAGTTTCTGCTTGGAGGGAAATAAGGGAGGGTTATATTGCAGAGTCAGTAGGTCAGAACAGTTCTATCTACTCAGTCCTTTTTCCTTCTGTGGTTTCAGTCTTCCCCAGTGATTGTCCCCTTTCCACACAGATGGACCTTATCTCTACCATTGGCGAGAGTGCAGCCCTGGGTGCAGCTGGTGTCATCCTCTGGGGTGACGCAGTATACACCTCAAGTATGGTAAGTGAGACCTTCCCCGCTGGTCAGAACTGCATCTACAAGAACAGGCAAATTTAGCCGGGTGTGGTGGTGTACATCTGTAATCTCAGCAATTTGGAAGGCTGAGACAGGAGGATCATCTGTTCAAAGCCAGCAACATATCGATACCTTGTCTCAAAAAATAAAAAGGTCTGGGGATATGGCTCAGTGGTTAAGAACCCCTGGGTTCAACTCCTGATACAAAAAAAAAGGCAAATTTGGACTTTTTCTCCCAACCTCACTTAAGTATGCAAACCTAGTCAGACTCCAGGAAAGAGGAAATGCTGCCCTGAACAACCATGGAGTTCCGCCTTTTCCTGACTGCCCAGCTGTGTTGCAGCTTCTGCCCTTCTCTTCAGGAACAGGGACTATGAGGGCTCAGGCATGCGCGTGTGTGTACACAAATAAGTGTGCTGTTAAAAAGAGGTTCTGTTGGGCTGGGGGTATAGTTCAGTGATAGAATACTTGCCTAGCATGCACAAGGCCCTGGGTTTAATAATCCCACCACAGTGTGAACACAGTTTCTATCGGCCTTGTGGGCCCAGGCAGCAGCTGACCCTGACCTGTTATCCTCTTGTTATCCTCTGTTTACCCCCAGGAGACCTGCCAGTACCTCAAGAATTACCTGAATCAGTTTTTGGTCCCCTATGTAGTCAATGTGTCTTGGGCTACCCAGTATTGCAGCCGGGACCAGTGCAATGGTCATGGGCGCTGTGTACGCCGCAACCCCAGTGCCAATACCTTCTTGCACCTCAGCGCCAACAGCTTCCGCCTAGTTCCTGGCCGAGCACCTGGTGAACCCCAGCTGCGACCTGAGGGGGAGCTTAGCCGGGCGGACCTCAACTACCTGCAAACGCACTTTCGCTGCCAATGCTACTTAGGCTGGGGTGGTGAGCAATGCCAGTGGGACCATAGGCGGACAACTGGAGGTGCCAGTGGGGCCTGGACTGGTTCCCATTTCACCAGTCTGCTGGCTTTAGTAGCTGTGGCCCTCACCTAGACCCCATAGGAATCTCCTACCTGGCTACCAAGCCAGCTGGCTTCTGCCACAAGGGCTTTCCTGGGCATGTGAGAGCCTATAGGGGGTAGACAAACTAGAGTCTGGAGGGGCAGAGCCCCCAAGATACCCAGCAGGGCATCCATATTAGCTGTCACACCCCTGTTCTAAGGGGGAGGGAAAGTCCCCTAAGAGGCCCCTTTCTACCTGTCAGAGGGGAAGGAGAATACAGCTGGGTTGGGGAGGGCCTGACCCTACTCCCCTGCCCCTGGATAGTTTATTATTATTTTGGGGTCTCTTTTGTAAATTAAATATGAAATAACTGTTTCTGTGCTTGTTATTTCTACTTCTGAGTTGGGGTTTGAGAGAGTCCAGGGTTGCCCATGAGGTTGAGCCTAGATCTCTGAAATCTTCTGGGAACTTCTCACCTGTAAAATGTGTTCACCAGGACTGACCTGGGATACCAGAGCTGCCTACTCTGAAGCTGTCCTGCTGAGACAAGGGCCACTGAGAATGGAGGGACCCACACTCCCAAGCTAGCACCAAAGACCTTGCTTTCTCCACATTGAATAAAATGGAATTGGATCTAACCTTGTGTGAGGGACAGAGCTTGATGTGCTTCTGCCACTTGCCCCTGCACCCCCAGCTAGGCCAGTACCAGCCTTGCCCATCAGGGATAAGTAGATATTTGATCTTCCCTGCTATTTTCAAAGGCAAGGGCATCTCCTCTGCTCACTGCTCCCAAGGGCACTGGACTTATACAATATCAACCTCTTCCCATCTGGGTCACAGCTTTTCCTTGAGTCTGGTACGGAGGGAGGTGGGTAGGGAGGGTTAAGATGTCAATTCTGAGGTTCAGTCCCTATCACACTATGAAGGTACGTGATGGGGCTATGGGTAGGCATCCTGAGCCTGGGACCAGGGAACATCATCAAAGATCAGCTCTGGCTGGATGTGGCACATGCCTGTAATCCCAGTGACTCAGGAGACTAAGGCAGGAGGATCACAGGTTCAAAGCCAACCCTCAGCAACTTGGTGAGGCCCTGAGCAATTTAGAGAGACCCTATCTCAAAATAAAATATAAAAAAGGATAGGGGATGTGGCTCAGTGATAGAATTGCCCTCAGTGATAGAATTACCACAAAACAAAGATTAGCTCTGGGGCTAGGGGTGTAGCTCAGTGGTAGAATATTTGCCTAACGTGCATGATGCTCTGGGTTTAAGCCCCAGCACTGTAAAAACAACAAAAAAAAATTGTATCCTGGCCACAGGACAACATGGCTAATCCTAGCTGTCCCAGAGAAGTAGCAACCAGAATAGTCAGATCAGCTCTGAGTTGCTTCACTGCCCCTGTCTGTGTTAGGTGTGACACACAAGTCCTGCTCTCAGCAAACTTACTGGCTCTCAAGCAACTGAAGTGCTAAGGTGTTTGAATGCAAAGGCCCTGGTTTCAATCTCCAGTACCTGCACCCCCCCCCCAAAAAAAAAAAGGTAAATAAATAAATAAAAGAATGAAAAGAAACTGAATAAGAAAGAGCAGCACACAACCGGGGTTCAGGGGAGTTGTCCTCCCCAAGTACTTTCTACATTGATATGTGAAAGGGGAGGGAGCAGCTTAATACCAGGAAACAAAGCATGGACAGAGGCTTGAAGGAAGTTGGAACACAACTACAATACATAGTTCAGGACTAGGGTATGGCTTGGGCCTGTACTGAAGACAGAGATGAGAGGGGTAGCCCCAGAACTTACTTCACCTGATGGCAATAAGTATCTCAATGTTGAGTAAGTAGTAAGTACACTAAGTACAATAACTTGGGCCAGTGCTTGCTGGATACTAGGGATATGTCTGTGAAGGACATCAAGTAAGACCCCTGTGCTGAAGGGGATGACAAAGTCGAAGGAAGTACACACTAAATGCCCAGACCAAGTCAGATGCCAGACGTGGAGAGTGCTCCAGCAAGTATCAGGCACACAAAAAGATGGTGTGATTAGGGAAGCAGAGTCTGAGGAACAAGCCCAACCAAATCCATGTCAACACACATTGTAAAGAGATCCCTCCCTTCTTCCTCTGGCTGATGACAGCATGGGTCTGGGTGACAGCACTAGGAGGGTGATGTAAATTCACAGGGTCAGAGAGGAAGACACAGAAGTAGAGGGGGTCCCATATGCTAATGGCTATCGTGGGGAGAGGCCAGGTTGGAGGAAAGATTTAGTGATGGTCCATAAGGCTATGAAATGGAGTTCAGCAGAGGGAGGGCAAGGAAGGAGGAAATGTACCACACATCTCCACACCTGTGACCCCTCCCACATAGCTGTGACTTTTTACCTAGCAATGGCCCTACCTGTCAGCCCCTATAGGCAAAGCTTCAATCCTCACAGCTATTACCTTCCCTAAACATCTGTGTCTGCACACCATGACCTTTCCTACACATTTGTGACTTGTACCCATCCATCTTCAACAAACCCATGTACACTTTATATCATTTTCCTAGGAGGACTTGGGGAAAGTAAAACCCAGGGATAGTCAGAACTTTCCTGTGGGGCAGAGGAGGAAGGGGTAGAGGTGAGATAATGGAGAGTGAGGTGACTCAGAGATCTGAAGCATGCACAGCCAGAGAGTAGGATCATCCAGCCAGATGGACCCCAGACATACAAGCACACTCCCTACCTCCCCTCATGCATCAATCCAATTAGACCAATTGGGCAGGAACAGACCTATGGGAAAGGCTTGGGGCAGGGGAGGGCTTCAGACATCCTCAACTCTTCCTGTTATTCCACCATTAGGGTTTTTCCCTTGGACTGAGGCCAGCTAAACAATGCTAGCCTGCTGCTTTCCTGGACAAGGTTTCTGGGGGCATCAGGAGGTAGCCCAGAGCCTCCAGGAGAGGGGTCAGGGGCTGCCTTGATGTTCTCTTGTCTCCTTAGCCCTTGAGAGTTGTGCCAGTCTCTGGGCTATCCAGTTATCACTCTGAGACCCTTCTTCCTGAACAGGATCAACAGCCACCACCTCTGTTTTAATCCTGTACACACATCCACAGTCCCCTATGCCCTGGGCCCTCCTTTCCCTCAGCCCAGCCAACCTGGAAGACCAAGCTCAATTGGTAGCCCACTGTGAGTGTCATTTCTCCAAGACCACCAGGCTGAAGATTCAGTGGCTTAGGCTCAGCCACAGCTGCAGGCCCAGGCAGTACTTTCATCCCAGTGTTTTCCTTTACCCCACCCTGGCAGGCAAGCCTGACCAGGCCTGAACATCTAGCAAGTCTCAATAAACAGCTTCTGAATCAGAACAAGGGAAACCACAAATGAACAGGCAAGCATATGTTCACTGATGGATCCTTGCTTACCCAGGGTCACACAAACTTGAGGTCTCATGGTCACAAGACATCAAGGTCTCACACACATGCAGTGTGAGACATAAGGTACTTAGTCTTACACTTACCTGTATGTACAAACCCCTGGAATTTGTGCAGAGGCCCGGATGGTCACCACCTGGAGTTTCACAAAAACACAACCACTGACCGAGGACATATACAAAAGGTAATGACACAGCCCAGACTTCACAAATACAGTGGCTTTCAGAAACAGATCCCTACAACAAGGATGGCTTAGGCACAAGACATAGTAGACACAAACAGTGCCAAGGGCCACAATACCTCTAGTGACCCACAGAAATGTTTTTAGTTTTTTTAGTTGGAAGAAAAAATATAAATACACTAATAATGAATACATAATAATGAAACTAGTCTGGACTAAATATCTTAAGTATTTTGTTTTAGTTGTAGTTGGACACAATATCTTTATTTTATTTTTATATGGTGCTGAGGATCACCCAGTGCCCTGCACATGATAGGCAAGTACTCTACCGCTGGACACAACCTCAGCCCTAAATTTATCTTTATGCCTAAAAGATAGTTAGTTGTAAGATATATTTTAGAATTTTGTTCTAGTTAAGCTCAGTGGCATATATATATATATATATATATATATATATATATATATACATACATATATATATACACACACACACATATATATGCGCCTGTAGTCCCAGTTACTTGGGAGTCTGAGGCAGAAAGATCAGTTTATTCCAGGAGTTTGAGACAAGTCTGGACAACATAGCCAGTCACTGTCTCAAAATCACAGTAGTAATAACAATAATAATAATATTGTTTTAAGGGTCTAGGGATGTGTGAGGTCCTGGGTTGAAACCCCAGGACAGGAAAAACAAATGTTTTAAGGAGGAAGACAGCCACAAAGCTAACAATGCCTAGGGGCCTACCAATGTCATCATGCAGTGGCTTGGAGAAAGTACACTCTCTGAGTCTATAATCCTCAGGCATCCAGACTCTGGGCCACAGACAGGCCTGCCCAACTGCCTCTGCCACCACCTATCCCTTCCAGACCCAGTAAAGTCACAAGGCCCCGCCCACTGCCGTCAGGGTGGGAGGGACCACTGCTGACTCAGCCTCAGCACCACCCCCTTAAAGGACCACCCCCCTCAAGGCCCACCCCTTGGACCTACAAAAGCTCAGAATTTTCCGCAGCTACTTTTTCCTCCGGGAGTTTCTGGTGCAGCTAGGTCCAGAGTGTGGGACAGTCAGKCTTTTCCTAGGCTACCACCTCAGGATCAGGAAGTTTCCAGGATGACACCCTTCAACCCTGAGGTTAGTAGGGAAAGGCGGGCAGACTGATGGGTGTACAGGAGGGATGGGCTGACCTGTTCTTGGTCTCTGAGCATCCCTGCTTCCAGTGGCTGCCAGAATTTCTGATGGAAGAAACAAGAAAGGGCTTCCATCATCAGTCTGGTCAGTCCGGGGCTGAGGGCCCAGTTCTTAGCTCCTCCTCCCTGAATGGATGTCATGGTTTCCTTGGCCCTTGGGGATCATGGGTGGGCAAGATTAGGCCAGGGCAAGAATTATGGGAGGAGATGGCAGAGGCCTGGTCCCAGAGATGACGCTGATGTGCCCACCACTGGCAGTGCTCCTCTCCATGCCTTTCCTCTGCCCTTTGCCCTCCCTGAGTCCTGCAGGTCAATGTTTAATTAAATCCAGAGCAGAGGTGGAGTTATCAGCAAGGGGTTCATCCCACCTGCCCTGAGCAGGGGTGAGAGAGTTTGAAGCCTGCCTTCAGCTCTGTCTCCCCTGGCCAGGTTTCCTCAGACCCATCTACTGCCACTGCAGCCCACCTGCTTCACATCTGTACCTTCTTGCTGACCTTGGTCTACGTGGCACAAGGCTCCAGGGGTCYTGTGGTACCCAACCGGCCCTTCATCACAGTTTGGAATGCAAACACCCAGTGGTGCCTGGAGACGCATGGAATAGATGTGGATGTCAGTGTCTTTGATGTGATAGCCAACCGGGGGCAGACCTTCCGCGGCCCTAACATGACCATTTTCTACAGCACACAACTGGGGACCTACCCCTACTACACACCTACTGGGGAGCCTATATTTGGTGGCTTGCCCCAGAATGCCAGCCTGCATGCCCACCTGGCCCGCACATTTCAGGATATCCAGGATGCCATGCCTGAATCTGACTTCTCAGGGCTGGCAGTGATTGACTGGGAGGCATGGCGCCCACGCTGGGCCTTCAACTGGGATACTAAGGACATTTACCGGCAGCGTTCTCGGGCACTGGTAAGGGCACAGCATCCTGACTGGCCTGAAACTTGGGTGGAGGCAGAAGCCCAGGCCCAGTTCCAGGAAGCTGCACAGGCCTGGATGGCAGGCACCCTCCAGTTGGGACAGGCACTTCGTCCACGTGGTCTGTGGGGCTTCTATGGCTTCCCTGACTGCTACAACTATGACTTTCTAAGGTCCAACTACACAGGCGAATGCTCACCAGGCATCTGTGCCCAGAATGATCAGCTAGGGTGGCTGTGGAACCAGAGCCGTGCCCTCTATCCCAGTATCTACCTGCCTGCAGTGTTGGCGGGCACAGGGAAAGCACAGATGTATGTACGTCACCGTGTGAGTGAGGCATTTCGTGTGACTATGGCTGCCAGGGACCCCAGTCTGCCAGTGCTGCCCTACACCCAGATCTTCTATGACATGACAAACCGACTTCTGCCCCTGGTAAGTCTACTGTGGCCTACCCACCTTGTCAGCCCAACAACTGAGGCCACACAGCCTTGGGACACTTTCATCTATTCTCATATTTGAGTTCAACTTTGTGCCAAGTTCTGTGCTAAGCACAGGTGATTCAGCATTTATTAGAAAGGTTTAGACCCTGTCTTCATGGCATTTGTAGGTTACAGGGGGAACAGGCTTACATCTGGCTACCAGGGCTACAGAAGCTTTGGATGGGGTTATAAATTATTTGTCCCATCCAGTGGTGTCACAGCAGTCTGCTGCAAGGAGGGAGGGCGGCCCCTACAAAGCTGTGCTTGCTCCTTCCCAGGAGGAGTTGGAGTATACCCTGGGAGAGAGTGCAGCCCAGGGGGCAGCAGGAGTGGTGCTCTGGGTGAGCTGGGAAAACACAAGCACCAAGGTAAGCTCAGGTCTGAGGACTGGCTGGTGGGTGGCTCACACTAAATTGGGAGATCCTGGCCTACCCTTTTTACTTCTGAAGTCCTGACTGGCCAGCACATGAGTATCTTGATGTCCTAGGTGGGCCTGTGCATGGCTCTAGTGTCCCTGATGCTCTCCCTCCCACCCAGGAATCATGTCAGGCCATCAAGGAATATATGGATACTACCCTGGGGCCCTTCATCCTGAATGTGACCAGTGGAGCTCTTCTTTGCAGTGAAGCCCTGTGCTCTGGCCATGGCCGTTGTGCCCGTCGCTCCAACCACCCTGAAGCTCTCCTTATCCTCAACCCTGACAGTTTCTCCATCCAGCTTATGCCTGGTGGCAGGTCCTTGACCCTGAAGGGTGCTCTCTCACTTGAGGATCAGGCACAAATGGCTATGGAGTTCAAATGTCACTGCTATCATGGCTGGCGTGGAGAGTGGTGTGAGCAGCAGGGCATGTGATGACTGGTCACATCCAGTTGCACACATTGAGCACCTAATGCACTCTGCAAGTGGTCTAGGCTTCCGCATACACACAGGCACAATCACAGGAGTCATGGTTATAGTCAGGAGTACACTGAGTCACCATCATGGGCATATGGCCTGCTCATGCACACTCAAAGCCAGATAGTCACATAAGGAGTTAGAAACCAGGGGCAGACATCATCCACTCCATGTCCACAAGTGTCTACTTAGAAAGGTAACAGCTCCAGAGACACTAATCCAAGTCTTTAAATTCATCCAGTGCCTGCTTTGGGCCAAACCATGTGCTAAGCATGTTAAGGAGGTTAACTCATTCTCTAAAATGAGGCTATGAGAAAGTGAGGCACCCACAGGATGCCTTTTTGCCCAAGGTTGCACAGCAAGAAAAAGAGAGATGCTGAGCCAGGCACGCCTGTAATCCCAGCAATTTGGGAAACTGAGGAAGGAGAATCACAAGTTTGAGACTAGCCTCAGAAACTTAGGGAGGCCCTATCTTAAACATAAAAGAATAAAATTTTTAAAAGGGACTGGGGATGTAGCTCAGTGCTTAAGCACCCCTGGGTTCAATCCACAGTACCAAAAAAAAAAAGAGAGAGAGAGAGAGAGAGAGAGAGAGAGAGAGAGAGAAGCTGAGATTCAAACCCAGGCTGTCTCCAGGGATAGAGCCTTTGTGCACCTACTGTGTGCTGAAGGTAAACAGCCTTAAGCGACTGAGTCCGCTGAGGCACCACACAACCCAGCAAATAAAGCACTCATGGTTTACTTAGAGATTTATTGAGTGCCTAAAATGGGCAGGCCCCTCAGCACCAGAGGGCAGGAAAGGTTCCTCTCTTTCCCTTAAGTCTAAGTCTGCTTGAGGGCGTCTGCTTCCCAGTGTGGGTCCAAATTCCCGGAAGCTCCACCTGATCTAAACATGTTGGATAGGCTCTGGAGGTCGACCCAACCTAGACAAAACGCGACAGGATCTGGGGCGGGGACGGGGCGGAATCCTCTGGAGGAGGGGCCTGCGCGGCTAAAGCAGTAACGTACGGGCCTCGGGCCTGGGCCTCCACGGAGCTGAGTTGGGGCGGTGATGCAGAGGACCAGAGGCTGGCCACACGAGGCGGGTCTGGGAAGAAGCCGTGCCAACAGATCCAGCTTAGCTCAGCAGGGGCGGAAGCCATAGCAGAGGCGGCGCTGGCTCAGTGTTGTGACGCGCAGAACCAGGGGCGGGGCCTAGGCGGGGAAGTTCCCTTGCCGGCGGAGGGCCTGACCACCTCGGGAGATTTAGGACTAGGAAGTGTGCGGTGGATTGCGATGGCTGCAGTACGTCCGCCGCACCGCTGGGGGCCAGCGCGGACCGACCGAAGAGTCTGAGCGAGAGACAGTGGGATACCGAGCCGTGCGGAGCGAGGACGCGGGACATCCCCGAGCCCGGAATCAACATGTCAGTACCGCCCCCACCCCATTACTGCCTGTCGGTGCTTCCCGCGCGTACGGTCCCCAACTAGCCGTGTCTTCCCGTATGCCCTCCCTGCGTCGGTGTTCTTTCCTAGAACATACCGAGCCATACCTACCCAGAGAGTTAAATTTTCGAAGCCCCACCCCCCAAAACTCCACCGTCTATGATCTACAGAAGTGGGAAAGGGAGTTAGGTATTAGCCGAGGCAGAGGAGACAGTGGGGTGGCTTTTTAAGGACCCAGAGACTAGCCCCGCCCACAGTGGGTGGGGCTGGCACTGAAGGGGTTAAGCCCGCCTGGCATCCTGGAACTGCAGGCGGATCCTGGGCTTACTCCCCCCAGACCAAGGGTGCTGCTTCTGCTACTGCTGTTGCTGTCACTAAGGTGGCTGATGCAGGTGAGAGGCTTAGATCCCTGTGAATGGGATGTGATGTGAGGGGAGGGAGATGCCTGTTATTGACTAGTGTTGTTGGATTGTCCTCAAGCTCAGGGAAGATGGGGAAGGAGGGTCAGGAGGTACTGTCTGGAGCAGGAGTAGAGGTGTGGGGCCCAGCTGCTCACCCAGTGTAAGAAATCCTCTAGTATAGACCCTCTTGTCAGCAAGACCTGGAATAAGGTGGGCAAACAATGGTGTTTGAGAACAGGAGATCTGGGCCCCCAACCAGGTAGCCGTTGGGCGCCTCAGTGGATAAAGGAAGGAAACTGTGGTCCTTATCTAGGGTGGCTACGAAACTCAGGCCAGAGGGAACCAAGCCTGCAGAAGCAACATTATATGTGGTTGTGGGCTAGGCCCTGGGCTGGTGCTGCTGGGGCCCCATCTGTGGGGACAGTTGAGTCCCTGCCCAAAGTCTCCTGAGCTGGGCAGAGTTGGAGAAGGGGCCATGGGCTTTGGGCCCCAGGCAAGAAAGGCAGTAGAGAGAAGGGAAGCTGAGCTGATGGTTGAGTGCATGGGGCCTAAGGGTCACCCAGGCAATTGAAAAGGCTGGGAGCTGAAGGAAAGCTGATATGTAAGGAGATGGAAGGGACAGGGGAACTCCTGGGGGCAGCGTTTCCTCCATGGAAAACCTCAGGTGGGTGTGAACAGGAGGCATGATGTCTGGTTTGCACCTTATGTGTGCAAGGTTGGCCAGCCATATTGGACTTCTAGAGATAAAACGGCCAGCAAGTATTAGCTGGGTTGACTGTCCACACACAGTGAGGTTCTAGGGAGGACAAATTTATAACCACAGTGGGTAGAGACCAGGACCCGTGGGTTCTGCCCCAGTCTTCAGCATTCACCATTACTCTCAGCCTTCCTCCAGTATGTGGCAGGGCACATGGGTCCATACACCCTGCCCCCCCTCCACCTGAGGTATAAAGGATGGGTCTCTTCCAGGCCACCTGTATCATCAGGTGAGTTTGGAGCAAGGTGCAGCCCATCATGCCCCAGTCCTAGAATGCATGTGCCCCTTTGCACTCATCAGTCCTTCCCTGCCCCAACCTTGTCTTCCTGCCACAGCCCAGCATGGCTGTTATTGATAGGAGGAGAGCCCTTGTAGTCTGAGGAGATGCCACTGCTTGAAGACTGGCCTTAATCTCCAGCCTGGCACTGAGCCACCTGCAGCCTAACAGGAGTTAACCTTGGCTCCCAGCCTGACTCAGCTGAGCCTGGATCCTACGAGTAGGCAAGAGCTCACTCTGAGCCCCTGGCCCAGCTACTCTGACCTCTACCCTAGACCCTCTGCACTGGATGGAGCTGATCCTGAGTAACAGCCCAGCTAAACTGACTCTGGGTCCTGCTTGCCAACCAGAGTTGACCCTGAGATTCAACCTGACCAAGCTAACCCTGGATCCCACACACCAGCCAGAGGTGACCCTGAGCCCCAGGCTAGCTGAGCTGACCCTGGATTCCACATGCCATCCAGAGATGACCCTCCGTCCTGACCCAGCTGAGCTAAACCTGGATCCCAGACACCAGCCAGAGGAGACCCCACTCCCCAGCCTGGCTGAGTTGACACTGGAGCCTGTGCATTGTCGACCTGAGCTCCTGGATGCTTGTGCTGACCTCATCAATGACCAGTGGCCCCGCAGCCGTGCTTCTCGCCTACACTCCTTGGGCCAGTCCTCAGATGCCTTCCCTCTCTGCCTGATGCTGCTGAGTCCTGGTCTTACCCCTGAAGCAGCTCCCATTGTGGTGGGTCATGCCCGTCTATCACGAGTGCTAGATCTGCCCCAGAGCCTCTTAGTGGAAACAGTGGTGGTGGCCCGAGCCTTTAGGGGCCGTGGCTTTGGCCGCCGTCTCATGGAGGGCCTGGAAGTCTTTGCTCGGGACCGGGGCTTCCGTCGGCTGCACCTTACCACTCATGATCAGCTGTACTTCTATGCCCACCTGGGCTACCAGTTGGGTGAGCCTGTTCAAGGCCTTGTCTTCACCAGCCAACGGCTGCCCTCCACCCTGCTCCGTGCCTTCCCAAGGGCCCCCTCTTCCCGGCCATCCTACAAAGTCCCAAGCCTGACTGCCCAAGCAGCCCCAAGGGGACCTAAGGGGCCTCCAGTGCCACCACCCCCTCCCCTGCCCCAGCCCACCTCACCCTCATCTCCAGGAGGGCCCCTTCCACAAAGCCTGCTGGAGACACAATACCAAGATCTCAGGGGATGCCCCATATTCTGGATGGAAAAAAATATCTGAGGGCCCCTTGGGACAAAGCACTGCCCTTCTGAGTCACTGGACTTTTCAGAACAATACCAGCCTCAGCCCACTGACCATATTTCATCCCTTAACCCCTGTGGGCAGCTTTAGCCTGGGTATGTTTCCTGGGTATCAGTGGGGGGCTAAATGGGGTAGCTCCTGTAGCTCTGGCTTAGAGTCATCAGTGTAGCTGAATAAAGGCTTCTGTTGAGTGTAGGTGTGACAGTTTTTGTTGATCTCCACCCTCACTTTTCAGGTTCCCTATTCCTGAAGAAGTCCTGGGATCCAGATTGGCTCTGGGGCCATTGATGGGGTGACACCTGTCCTTTGCCCCTCCTAACTTGCCAGTCACAGGATACAGAATGGCTCTTCCTTTCCCCATTCATTCCCTCATTACCTTTCACTGAGCCCTACTGTGCCTGACCCTGGACTGGGCATAGGTAATAGAGAATTATACAAGGTCCCATTCAAGGGGACAGATGGGCATACCATGTCAGGATCCATTGTGGGATAAGGAAGTTCAGAGGCTTTGGGAGGACAAGGGCCCTCACTTCTTCTAGGGGTCCAGAATACCCAGAAGTGATGATACTGAGTAGGAATTAAGTGAGGCAGACAAGGTGGTGAGAGCTGAGTGTTCTTGGAGCAGGGAACAAGATGGGAAGATGAAAGAAGGGGACTTGTGATAGCTGTGGGGTGAGGAGGTCTTGGAGGACACAGTGGTACCTTGACAGAGACAGAACACCAGAGGAGAACTACCCAGATCAGTTTGGGGTATGGCTGCTCTGAAAGGCTTATAGGATCCCTTGGAAACCACCTTTTCCCCATCCCCCGTCCTTGTGGGGAGGAGCTGGGGAGCTTTCCCTGCTCTTCCTGCTGTGCAGAAGGCATGGCTGTGGACTCCAAGCTCATATCCCTTTTTTTCTACAGGTTTCCATCTCTGTGTTACGACCATGCAGCTAAGCCCAGTCCTGATGATGGGGGTGGCCCTGTGCCTGGGGTATGGCCAGCCCTTGCCACAGGTTCCTGATCACCCCTTCTATGTGATATGGAACGTACCCTCAGCACGCTGTAAGGCCCACTTTGGTGTGCACTTACCACTGAAAGCCTTGGGCATCATAGCCAACCATGGACAGCTTTTCCATGGCCAGAACATCTCCATCTTCTACAAGAACCAGCTTGGCCTCTATCCCTACTTTGGGCCCAGAGGCACAACTCACAATGGGGGTATCCCCCAGGCTGTGTCCCTAGGCCGCCACCTGGCACAGGCTGCACACCAAATCCGTCATAGTCTAGGACCCAGCTTTGCTGGCCTAGCAGTGCTGGACTGGGAGGAGTGGTATCCTCTCTGGTCTGGGAACTGGGGCCGCCGCCACACCTACCAGGCAGCCTCCCAGGCTTGGGCACAGCAGGTATTCCCTGACTTGCACCCTCAAGAGCAGCTCCACAAAGCCCGTGTTGGCTTTGAACAGGCAGCCCGCGCACTGATGGAGAACACACTGCAGCTGGGCCAGACACTGCGACCTCATGGACTCTGGGGCTTCTATCGTTACCCAGCCTGTGGCAATAGCTGGCATGGTACAGCTTCCAACTACACAGGCCACTGCCATGCAGCCACCCTTGCCCGCAACACCCAATTGCATTGGCTCTGGGCTGCCTCCAGTGCTCTCTTCCCCAGCATCTATCTCCCACCCAGGCTACCGCCTGCTCACCACCAGGCCTTTGTTCGACACCGCCTGGAGGAGGCCTTTCGTGTGGCCCGTGCTGGGCACACACATCCTCTGCCCGTCCTGGCATATGCCCGCCTCACACTCCAGAAGTCTGGGAGGTTCCTGTCCCAGGTAAGTAGAAGGTGAAATTTAGGGGTCTGCATTGAGCACTATGATCCTGTCCTATAGAAGTCTTAAGGAGAAGACCTTGATTTAAAAGGAAGGTCCTAGTCTAGGGGTTCTTAGAGGAAAGCCCTATCCTGGAGCATCTGAAAAAGGAGCCATGGCTCTGTGTCAGAAGGTCTGAAAGTGTAAGGCAGGGCATAACCTTTGGAACCCTGGTCCAAGGAGAGTCATTCTGAGTGGAGGGCATGCAAAACCCTCTCAAAGACCCAGTGCAAAGGCACCCAACTCTAGAGTTGGAATCAATTGTGACAGTGAAAGTTTCTTGATCGTGAAGGTGGGCCCAGATGGGTCCAGCCAGTTCAGCCTGGCTTAGCAGCTCTTTGCCTCCAGAATGACCTGGTTCAGACCATTGGTGTGAGCGCAGCACTGGGGGCAGCCGGCGTGGTGCTCTGGGGGGACCTGAGCTTCTCCAGTTCTAAGGTGATCATTATCCCCTTCCGCCTGTACATGCTGGGGCCCAGGATGGGGGAGAGGCCTTGTCAAGGATATGGAGCAAGAGCACTGACACATCCTTTCCTTCCGCCTCAGGAGATGTGCTGGAGTCTCCATGACTACCTGGTGAGCACCCTAGGCCCCTATGTGATCAATGTGACCAGAGCAGCCACAGCCTGCAGTCTCCAGCAGTGCCATGGCCATGGGCGCTGTGCCTGGCAAAACCCAGGAAAAATGGAAGCCTTTCTGCACCTGCAGCCAGATGGCAGCCTTGGAGCTTGGGAGTCTTTCAGCTGTCGCTGTTACTGGGGCTGGACTGGCCCTACCTGCCAGGAGCCGAGGCCTGGGCCTTAGAAAGCAGTATAAAGCCAGGAGTCCCTGTTCCTACCTATTCTTGTCCCTGCTGCCACTTTCCTAGTCCTGGAGGAACTCCCCCTTTTGCTCTATTCAGCTTACAATCAATACCTTCCCAAGCACACACTTTCGCTCCCACTTCCCTTGGGATCTCTGAGGGGTGGAAAGGGCCAGAAAAAACGCTTATAAAACCAAAGTCCTCTGAGATCATCTGACTCCTCATGACACAAAGCAGCCTCTGGCAAAGTCAGGGCTCCAGCTGGTTAAGGGTTGCCAGCCCAGGGCTTTATTTCTATACCTTAGTAGGTCCACAGAGAAGTCACAGGAGGGCCATCCACGGGCAGATGTTCCCAAGAAATCTGGGATAAGGTCTCTAAATGCTAAGCTGTTATCCGCACTACGTTTTCATCAGAAAGTCACTTTTTCTTTCATTGTCTGAAAGGGTCTGTTCTCCCTATAGGGTCCCAGAATTTAGCCTGAGCCTTTGAGCAAGTGAACCGCTGCAAGGGCCCTAAAATGTTGGTCTTGCCATGGTGCTTCATCCGTGGAAGGAAAGATCAGAGTTAAGGACTGTGCCATCCTGCACAGCGCGGGGCTGGACGGCGGGCAGGGCATTGTGGGTGCAGAGTTCAGATAGGGCGGGCACGGCTTGTGGATCCAGGAGTTAACTGCGACTACCGTGGTGCTCTGCTTCTAGACAGCAGGCCCTAACCTGTGCGCGCAGCCCCCTGGGAATAGTAGTTCCGGGGCCGTGGATGTGGGTCTGAACCAGGTGGCCGGGAACTCGCCTTCCCAGCTACCCGTTTGGCAGGGCGGGGCGCCTCGCGAAGATGGTGGCGCGCGCGGCGTGTGGCTCCCGTCGTCTGTCCAAGTCTCAGCACAGCGCACCGGCCAGCATCTCGCTGGTTTGGAGCGCCCGCCCGCCTGGTCCCTGACCCCGCGCCCCCCATACCCAGTTCCCAGCATGCCCCGCGCCCGTAAGGGCAACGCGCCCCGCAAGGGCGGCCAGCGCCGTGGAGGTGAGTGGGGGGCTCCAGGCAGCTGTTCAGCAGCGAGCAGAGGCCCCGCGCGGGTCCCCGTCGTGTCCCCGAGGGTCCTGGGGCTGGGAACACCTCTTGATTAGCCTAGCCTCCCTGAACTGTGCCGAGGCCCGCACGTGTCCCAGCAGGCATCGGCCACGTGTGCGCCCAACTTGAGCGCGCTGCCAGCCGCCTGTCGGGATCCCGCGGTCCTAGTGGTGACTCAGCCAGTACCTTTGGACATTAATTTTCCCACTGCCCCTCCACCCCATTTGCTTGCTGGGGTGGATAAACCTACTGGACAGAGAGCGAAGCTATCCTCCTTGACAAATCCGTGTCCTTTGGTGGTCTGGACGGGGAAGCTGGCAGACGCCTAACTTGCTCCCAAAACTAAAAGAGGTGAGGTGCGAGTGGGAAACTACAGAATCCGGGTGATTCCTGTCAGGGGACTGGATGAATACCCTAGAGCCTGAGGCAGTCTTAGTTATTGCTTATCAACCAAGAACCTGTCCTGTTGAAGTAAACACATATGTTTGTTCTGATGCGATAGAGTGTCTGACCACCGCCTAATGGGGCTTGGGTGTGGAACACTAAATAGGGTAGTGACAGTTCAAAGGGACTGGTGCTGAAACTTTTTCACGGAGTGGTGTCAGCCCCAGACTGAGGAACTTAGGAAATCACATGCAAAGAGATCCTCTGGGTGAATTCTGAGAAGATGAGAAGAGATAACCATGGAAAGAGAGCAGGTTGTACAGAGATTTGGCAGCTGCGGGGATCATAATACAGTGGAGCAAATGAGAGAAGGCTGGGCTGCTTTTGCAGCTAGGTAGAGAAGAAGTGAGCAGGGGCAGTGTGCCTGCTGGACTTTTTCCTACAGGCAAGGAGTATAATTAGTTTCTGAGATGTAGGGCCAGCCTTGTGGTCAGAACCTGTCCAGGGCTTTGCCACAGTAGCCACCCTTACCAAAGTAGCACGTAGCCTTGGACAGAACATATATCAGGAAGGCTCTCGCTAGAGATTTCCCTGTGTTCTCCTTTTTTAGGGGCCAGTTTCTTCTCTACCAGGGTCAGGAGGACTGTGTTTATCTAAAATCCACCACAGCTGAAGGTCCTGGATGGACCAAAGGAAGCTCAGAAGACAATATACTTGAAGCATGGGATACCCAGCACATTCAATAGAAGCTGGGCTTTTGCCCTCAGAACTCATAGGTGGCTTGATGAATTTGTTGGCCTGCAGCAGAGCCATAACAAACCACTTGTCTTCAGCTGCTCCACCTTAAATGCATTTGCTTCTCTGTTTTGCAGATAGAGAAATGGAGGCTTCAAAGCCAGGGCAACTGACCCATTACAACTCTGTTAAGATATAGAGCTGGGGGTGCTGGGGTTTGTGGCTTAGCAGTAGACTGCCGCCTAGAGATTTGGCCCTGGGTTTGATCCTCGGCACCACATAAAAATAAATAAAATAAAGGTATTGAGTCCAACTACAGCTAAAAAATAAATACTAAAAAGAAAAGATGTAGAGCTGGGGGCTTGGGTTGTGGCTCAGTGGTAGAGCACTTGCCTGGCAAGTGTAAGGCACTGAGTTTGATTCTCAGCACCTCATAACAATAAATAAACAAAATGAATATGTTAAAAAACAGAGAAAAAGTTGGCTGGGGCTGTGGCTCAGTGGTAAAGTGCTTGCCTAGCATGCATGAGGCACTGGGTTCAGTTCTCAGCACCACATACAAATAAATAAAATAAAGGCCCATTAACAACTGGAAAATATAAAAATATTTAAAATATAAAAATATTTAAAATATAAAAATATTTTTTAAAAAAGTAGAGCTGGGGACCAAGGGTGTAGTCCAATGATAGGACACTTGCCTAGCAAGTCCAAGGCCCTGGGTTTACTCCCTAGCTTGGGGGGGAAAAAAAGAAGTGAGCTGGAGTTTGAACCCCAGATCTGCCTAACTATAATCTAAGACCCTGACCTTTGTATTGCTCACTTTAGGGCATAATCCAAGCTGGGCCACAGGCCTAGTTGGACCCATACAAGCCCTCCCTTCTACCTCTAGTTTAGCTCCCAGTCTCGTCCTTAAAACAGGCTTTGAGGGCTGGGGATGTGGCTCAAGCGGTAGCTCGCTCGCCTAGCATGCGTGCAGCCTGGGTTCAATCCTTAGCACTACATACAAATAAACGTTGTGTCCGCTGAAAACTAAAAAAATTAATATTAAAAAATTCTCTCTCTCTCTCTAAAAAAAAAAACAAAAAAACAGGCTTTGATCTCAGGGAGGCTCTTCCCACCAAGTCTGCCACATTATCCCTAGCTGGGCCTTATTCTTGACACTGTTCAAACGATTGATCTCCTTCCCTTTTTCCTGCTTCTTGGCTCAAGTCTGCTGTTTCAGTTCGTGTACTGCCCAACTCAGTTTTGGCCCCCTCATCTTTGAGAAGGGGGGCAGCATTCTGTCTTGTTTAGTCATGAGGTTGAGTAAGATATGCCCAACCTTCATTAATGGAAGCAAGCCACTTTTTTTGTTTGTTTGAGACAGGGTCTTGCTGTTTGCCAAGGCTGCCCTCAAACTTGCAATTCTCCTGCCTCAGCCTCCTGAGTAGTTGGGATTACAGGTGTACACCACTGAACCCCACAAACGTATCCTGTTTTTACTCTCATCAGGTGCCCGGAGCAGTGCCCAAGCTGACTCAGGTTCCAGTGAGGATGAGGCAGCCAGTGAAGCCCGCAGCACCACCAGTGACTGTCCCAGCCTTCTCAGCACCACAGCAGAGGACAGTCTGGGTGAGAGCAGGTGGCAGTTTGGTCGGGGCTTGGCTCAGGCTCCACTGGGCGAGGGCAAGAAGTGGTGCTGACCCACTGGCCTTGCAGGGGGGGATGCCGTGGATGAGCAGGGCCAACAGGAAGACCTTGAGGAAAAGCTGAAGGAATATGTGGACTGCCTCACAGACAAGAGGTATTCCTGGCTGCCAGCCAACTCCTACAGTGGGGCCCTGCTCAGCCCATGCCAAATATGACAAAGAGGCTGGCCCCCATGACCCCCCTTCTCTATTTCCCCAGTGCCAAGACCCGGCAAGGAGCTCTAGAGAGCCTGCGCCTGGCCCTGGCCTCCCGCCTACTTCCTGACTTCTTGCTAGAGCGCAGCCTGACACTGACCGATGCCCTGGAAAAGTGCCTCAAGAAAGGTTAGGCCCTTAGGATGCATGGGGAACTTTAACTAGGCAGGAGGTGATCCTTGCTGCCTTGGGCTAACTGAAAGGATCCCACAGGGAAGGGCGAGGAACAGGCCCTGGCTGCTGCTGTTCTAGGCCTGCTGTGTGTGCAGCTGGGCCCTGGACCCAAGGGTGAGGAGCTGTTCCACAGCCTGCAGCCCCTGCTGATCTCTGTGCTTAGTGACAGCACAGCTAGCCCTGCTGCCCGGCTCCACGTGAGTATTCCCAAGCGCCAAAGAACCTTTCCTTCACCTTATCCCTAAGTAGAGTGATAGATTTAACCTGTTCAGGCTCCCCTACTCTAAGGGAGTTGAGCCACACGGCTGGGAAGCTGGGTTCACCCCTAACCAGGTCTGGCTCTGTCCTCCTCCCAACAGTGTGCTTCTGCTCTCGGCTTGGGTTGCTATGTGGCTGCTGCTGATGTCCAGGTGAGTGGCCTTTGGACACAAGTGGTACCACCTAAACCCATAGGTCTGTCCCTGAGTCCATCCCCTGCCTCCCTGTGCTCCTAGGACCTGGTCTCTTGCCTTGCTTGCTTGGAAGGTGTTTTCAGCCGGTCCTGTGGCACAGGTGGTTCCACAACTCCTGTGGTCCCTGCCAGTCTTCATGGGCTGCTTTGTGCTGCCCTGCAGGCCTGGGCATTGCTGCTCACCATCTGCCCCAGCACCCATATTAGCCACATCCTTAACAGGTAGGGGCAGCTGTCCACTGGGAGTGGGAGGAGATCATGATGGGGCCCCCAACAATGCCCACACGTAGCTTAGCATGCCTCTTCCCTAGGCAGCTGCCCCGGCTGCCCCAGCTCTTGTCCAGTGAAAGTGTGAACCTGCGGATTGCTGCTGGTGAAACCATCGCACTACTCTTTGAGCTCGCCCGGGACCTTGAGGTGTGAGGGACAATGGGGGTCATGGGGGGTGCCTGCTTGTGCCATTGCCCATCCCAGACTGGATGCAGAGCATGCCACAGATAACAGAGCAGCCTGGGGTCATTATGCAGGGAAGATGGCCTCAACATTGACTCACATGCTAGGAGCTGTGATGGGGACTCTGAACAGTGGTATTCTGTATAGGCAGAGGCCAAGGAGGGGTTGAGGGAGGTCAGACAGAAGAGGAGGATTCTCAGTGAAAGAAAGGCTTCAGGCAGCTTACATTAAGAGCCAACACGGGGGGGGGGGGGGGGGAAAAAAAGCCAATGGAGCTCACAAACCCAATCTCCATCGCCCCCCCACAGGAGGACTTCGTTTATGAGGACATGGAGGCACTCTGTGGTACCCTGCGCACTCTGGCCACTGACAGCAACAAGTACCGTGCTAAGGCTGACCGCCGGCGCCAACGCTCTACTTTCCGTGCTGTGCTGAACTTTGTTGAGGTGCGTGTGAGAACGAGTGTGTTCTAGCACAAGTGCATCCCCAGGCATAGCAGCCAAGCCCAGTCATGTGGGCCCCTCTACCCTGCAGGGCAGTGAATGTGAGGAAGAGACAATCCGCTTTGGACTTGAAGTGCTCTATGTGGACAGCTGGGCTCGGCACCGGATCTATGCTGCCTTCAAGGATGTGCTGGGTTCCGGCATGCACCACCACCTTCAGGTGGGAGGCTACTCAGGGAGGGCTGCCCAGCTTGGCTACTTTGGACTGTCCTGAGTTTATTGCCCTCTTTGTCCCCAGAACAATGAGCTTCTTCGTGACATCTTTGGCCTGGGCCCGGTGCTGGTGCTGGATGCCACTGCCCTGAAGGCCTGCAAAATTTCACGCTTTGAGAAGGTTTGTGCCCTAGGCACCTGTCTTTCCCTCTATTCCTGTTTCCTGGGGGCCTGGAGCTCAGCAAGGGCTGCCAGAGGAGCCTGGGCTTTTCCCTTCCTGGCTCACCACGTCACTCTCTTTGCCCCTACCCCAGCACCTGTACAATGCTGCCGCCTTCAAAGCCCGGACCAAGGCTCGAAGCCGTGTAAGGGACAAGCGGGCAGACATCCTGTGAGGCGGACCAGCTGAAGAGAAGACTACCCTCACTGTTGCCCATATTTTTAACAGAAGAGAGTGCAAGAACTGGTCTCTGCCAGTGATTGTCACTTTATTTTTTTAATGGCAAAACCAAAAACATATAGGGTGGATGGGTGAAGGAAGGGTCAGGACTTTTGGGACCCTGGCCTTTGTCCCTGCACTCAACCCTATGGCCTCTTCCTGCCCTTTCTCAGGTGAGGCCAAATGTGTGCCTCTCCCAGGGTAGTCAGTAGGGAAGCTATCCCTTCCCTCCCTTTCCTTTTTTTAGGCCTTGTTCCCCTGGGGTGACACACTTTCTTTGGGGGACTGGCATCTGGACAAATGCCATCAGAGTAGGTGTGGAAGCAAAGCGATCTGGAATGGATTTGTGCAGATTTTTAAAGATTATATAAGAGATAATTAAACAGAATGCTCAGCTTCTTGTGGCCTTGACTCCTAGGTATTTTGGCCCGCTCTCCCTCCCCATCCACCATCCCAAATTTGGGCCAGCTGGGTCTCCCCCATCTCACCTTTGCCCTCCATGGCAGTCTCTCCTCAAGTGGGGCTCCCTTACCTCAACTCAGAACCCAGCCTGTCCTTGAGAACTGAGGTTGGACCCCCACTGGGAGGCCTGGCAATCACTGCAATGGGGGCAGCTATTTCTAGACTTCTGAACCTTCTATCTAGGGGTAGCCAGAGGGTGCTGACAGGCCACAGGAGAAGCCAGGAGGCTGGTGCCCTGTCGTGACCTTGCGCCACCCAAAGCAGGTCCTTGGCATCAGAAAGCTTAGCTTTATCTAGACCTGGCCTGAAGAGGTCAGGAGAGGGAGGCAGGCAGCTGTAGAGTCACATCAGGCTCTTGTACAAAAATTTCACCAAGGAAGTAGTGTAGACCAGCACTGGGAGAGGAGAGGCCTGCCCATGGCTGCTTTATTCCCCCACATAGAACCCCAGACCATGAGTTCAAATGGTATCTCAGCTGGGTGTTCGGGCTTCACTGGAGTTCAGCCTCCTCAGCTGGCTGAGACTGGCTAAGCGGAGTTTGAGCAGAGTCTCCTCCTGTGTTCGAAGTGTATGTGCTAGGACCCGCAGGGATTCACTCTGCAACACTGGAAATGTACAGGCATTTGTGGAACCTGTCAGACCACGTTGCTCCTCCACACCTCCCCCAATCAGCCCAGCATCAGGGAGTTCCCATTGACCCCTGACCACCCTTCATTGCTGCAGCATCTGCAGTTGCTCTTTCCAAAGAGCCACCCAATGCCCACTGCCTTGCCCTCAGTTCCCACCAGCTCTGTCCATCCCTACCACTCAGGTAGACAGCCAAGATTGCAAGCGCCAGGCAGGTGAGCACCAGCAGTGCCAGCAGTAATAGGAATCCCCCACGGTCACACACTGGGCTGCAGCCAGCCTGGGTACACAGTGATGGTGGCAAGACACCTAGCAGCTCATCCCACTGCCGTGCCTCTTCAGCCAAATAGGGACGAAGGGATCCTATGGGGAGGATGAAATATTAGGAGGGCAATTTCCTCTCCTCCCCCAGTACATCCATCTCTCACCCCTGCCCCTACCTACCTCCACTGTGCAGGTCACTGATGGACTCCACTCTGTGCAGATGCACCTCCTGCACATGGTTGTGGTCCAGTGGCCCCCTGCTCCTCTGGCTGTGCATTGATGCCACAGTGTCTGCAGGGAAGTGAGTCTGATTCAGCCAGACAGGTCACTTCTTCCCTTTTCCCAGATAGCCCTCAAGAAGCAGGGACTTGGGAAGGATGGAGATAATGGGAATTTGCTCCAAATCCCCTACAACTTCAGGAATGACCTTGGTTCAGATCCAGAACAACCTTAGCTACTTACTTGTACAGTAGCAGGTACACTCAACTTGCTACCATGTATCATTCCAAGCACCTGGAGGGACTTTCAGCTACTTACCTGCCTACTCATTTCTTTTTTTGTTTGTTTTTTGATGGTACTGGGGATTGAACCCAGAGCCTTTTGCATGTGAGGCAAGCACTTTACCAACTGAGTTATATTCCCCAGCCCCCTGCCTGCTCATTTCTAGCAAATAGTTATTCAGTCTTGCAGGACTAAGTCCACAGTACACACAGTTCAGTCCTCTTCTGTTTATCAAAGACCTGAAGACCTGTGAATTAGTCATCTGTCCAGACCTGGTGCTCTGTGCCTTCTGGGCAGCAAACAGCCCCATTCAAGACCTCATGGAAACTGGATGTGATGGCACAGGTTTGTAATACCTGAAACTCAGGAGATTGAGGCAAGTGACTGCAAGTTCAAAGCCAGTCTCAGGGAGTCCCGGTCTGAACACATTGTGGAACCTTTTCTTCCCAGCCTTGCTTCTGTGTTCTTTAACAAACTAAGTGTGATTCTGTTGTGCAAAACCTGCTGTTTTCACTCAACATCACTGAGACTCCTCTATTAAAACACTTTCTCATGTCTCTGCAGGCATGAGACTGCCTGGCCATTTAGGTTATTTCTGGGACCCTTTGGAAGTTAACAGCCCCCAGACATCCATCATTGAGTATGAAAATTTCCCCCAATTTCTTGGTAGTCTTTTTTTTTTTTAACCTTTATTTATTTTTTTGTGGAGCTGAGGATTGAATCCAGTGCCTTGCACACGCTAGGCAAACGCTGTGCCACTGAGCCACAACCCCATCCCTTCTTGGTAGTCTTTAATGACAATTCCCAGAAGAGAAAATTTGGATCCAAGAAGGAAAGGCTTTTTTGGTTTGGTTTGGTTTGGTTTTGCTGTTATTTTCCAGTACTGAGTGTTGGATCCAAGGTCTCACACTGCTAGGCAAGTGCTTTAGCACTGAGTACTTGCCCCCACCCCATTTTGTTTTATTTATTTTATTTTTTAATTGTAGATGGACACAGTATCTTTTTTTAAGAGAAAATTTGTTTACTATTTATTTTATAGTTTTCAGTGGACCCAACATCTTTATTTTTTATTTTTATGTGGTGTTGAGGATTGAACCCAGTGCCCCGCGCACGCCAGGTGAGCGCGCTACCGCTTGAGCCACATCCCCAGCCCACAATATCTTTTTTTATTAATTTTTTTTATGTGGTGCTGAGGGTCCAACCCAGTGCCTCATGCATGTGAGCCAAGTGCTCAACCACTGAACTACAACCCTAGCACTTTTTTTTTTTTTTTTTTTTTTTGGAACCCAGGGATGCTTAACCACTGAGCTGCATCCCCAGTCCTTTTTATTTTTTATTTTGAGACGGGGTCTTGCCAAGTTAACTCGGGGCCTTACTAAATTGCTGAGACTGACTTTCAACTTTTAGTCCCCCTGCCTCAGCCTCCCAAGCCTCAGATTATAGGCATGTGCCACCATCCCCGCCTTTTTTTTTTTTTTTTTTTTGGTTGGGAGTGGGGGAAAGTTCTCACTGTGTCACCCAGGTGGGCCTCAAACTTGCCATCTTCCTGCCTCAGCCTCCAGAGAAATCTGGTATTACAGGCATGGGCTACCATTTCTAGTAGGTATTTCGTTTCTCAGCTATCATCAAATTTCCTCCAGAAGGTGTGTCTGCAGCCCCAACATCTCCAACATTAGGCATCCCCACTAGGGGGAAAAAAAGTTTATATGCGCACAGTTGAATAGTATTTGTAATATGAGAGATAAGCAATTACCTTTATTTACTATTTCTTTTATGGGTATGGAGATCAAACCCATATCCTTAATGTATGCTAGGTAAGTGCTATATCACTAAGCTACAACCTCAGCCTTGAGAAGTTGTCTTTTTTAATTTATTTGATGGAGTTTCTTGCTGGCCTGGACTCCTAGACTCTAGTGATCCTCTTCCCTCAGCCTCCCATGTACCATCAAAGTTTTTTTTTTTTTTTTTTTTTTGTATTGTGGTACTGGATATTGAACCCAGGGGTACTCTACTGCTGAATTATATTCCCAGTCCTTTTTATATTTTACTTTTATTATTTTTATTTTTATTTTTTTAGTGAGAGAGGAGAGAGAGAGAGAATTTTTAATGTTTATTTTTTAGTTCTTGGCAGACACAACATCTTTGTTGGTATGTGGTGCTGAGGATCAAACCCGGGCCGCACGCATGCCAGGCGAGCGCGCTACCGCTCGAGCCACATCCCCAGCCCCTATATTTTACTTTTAGACAGGGTCTAAGTTGCCCAGGCTGACCTTGAACTTGCAGTCCTCCTGTCTTAGCCTCCTGAGTCACTGAGATTACAGGTGTATCCCTTGTACCTGGGCCATCAAAGTATTTTATGATTTCTAGATATGTAAAATATATATAGTATATATATGGGACTGAACCCATGTACGCTCTACCACTGAGCAAAATCCCCAGCCCTATTATTTATTTATTTATTTATTGGTACTGGGGATGGAACCCAGAGGCACTTTACCACTAAGCTACATCTCCAACTCAATTTTGAGACAGTCTCACTAAAATGCCTGGGTTGGCCTCAAACTTGTAATCCTCCTGCCTCAGCCTCTGAAGTTGCAACCATGTCCAGATAATCATATTTTCTTCTGGTGTTCTTTGACTTGATTTTTTAAAATCTTGGCCCCATAAGAGCTCCAGATACCCACCTAAAAGTTGGATCAGGGAAGGGGGGCTTTAGAAGGATTCTTCCTGTTAGAGATAATGGTGGCTTTGGACTCTCTGGGTCTATCACTCTCAGGTCAATAACTCAACTTTCATATTTGCTTGAAGCTGTCCCTTAACATGCTCAAAAGCAAGACAAACAAAAACAGATGCTTCCAGACCTCAAGTCTGGGTGATAGTTTGAAGGTCAAGTACCCTCTTTATACTTAGTATGCTTTTCCCTAATTTAAATTGAACACGGATTCTGTTTGTTACAAAAAAAAAAAAAAAAAAACAGTAAATGTTATTGTTAAGATCTGCCCTCCCCCAAAGATGAACATTTCCTCTTACCTGAGTTCAAGCCACTCCCCTGTAGTATAAAATGTTGGAAATGTGATGAGAGAGCCAGTCACCTTGACCAAGCTGGGTTGTGGGCTATCGCCTAGAACCATAGTCCTGTGACATGGCCAGCCTTCAAATGCAGCTGCCTAGATTCCTGTTGCTATGGCTCCTCTGAGCCTCAGGACTTCTTTTATTAGTAAAGCAGTTAGATGAATGGCCACCAAGCTCTTGAACAGCTGAGTCAGTCTGTCCAGACTGAGGGACCTCAGCCCTTAGTCAGTTGGGGAATATTTAGTCCTAAATTAGGGGAAGCCATAGGCCTATCTACTGCTTCGTCCCTAGGAAGTGCCCAAATGGGCCTACCCCCCAGTTCCAGTTTTCTCCCTGAAAGAATAGCTGTACTGGCCAGGCAGCTGTCCGGATACCCACACCCACTAAGAGTGGCCTGTAGTTGACCCACTCCTAGTGGGTAGCTTTCCCCAATCCTTCCATGCAGGGAAAACTGAGATAGGGCCTACTGTGGGAAAGGGTTCTAAGCATGGAAGGCTCTTCATCCATGCATGGGATATCCTTTTACTAGAGCTGGGAAATGAAAATTGATGACTAGTCAAACAATGAGATCAGTGGGACAGAGGGTCTCTCCGTGGTTCACAGGGTAACAGGACTGGGGCCTTGCCCTCCCTCATGATCACCCTCTCCTACCTTCTTGAGTCCTCTCAGGCATGGCAAGTGGTAGTCAGGGGGCCAATGAGGGTGCCCAGTAGCAGGGCTGGACAAAGCAGCAGCAGCAGCTTCTCTGGGAGCCTGGGGAAGGCCTGGCCACTTTCCAATCTAGGCTTAAAATAGGCCTGAGCTCAGCCAGCTGGGCTATATTTAGAGGGGGCAGCTCTTAGCCATCAGAAGGGGCGGAGTGACCCACATGGGTCAGCCTAGACTATCTACCTGGTGATAGAGCTCAGCCAAGAGCATGCTTCCACTAGTACATAGGTCCAGCAGCCTTCTCAGGGAACTATATCACTTCTATATGTACACAGGCCTTGGGGCCTTCATCCAGAATAGCCATCACAGGCTCAGTCTGTAGCATGGCAGCCATGACATAAAAGGAGACACTGTGCAACTCTATTCAGGCCTCACCTCTGTAGATCTTTACCCACAGCCTGGCCATCACCTTCCTGCAAACGTGAGACAAACACCCACCACTGGGTGACATGATAGCACTAGAGATTGTGGATGTTGGACAACTGAAACCCAGTGCCATAAAGGTGCACACATAACACCTATGGTAGCCAGTGGACAGAACTGGATTGGAGATCAGAACTTCTACTACTACTCTTACAACCTTATGTAAAGGATCAACTTTCTCTGGCCTCTGTTTTCTTGACAGAACAATGATTCCTCTCTGGCAGTCATCAAGAACATACATACAATCATGTATCTGAAGCACTTACCCTGGAGCACAGTTTTGGTTCTCCCTGTCCTCTCAGCAGGGCTCACATGGATCATGTGAAGATCCATAGTGCTGCTTACCCTTGAAGTGGAAGGGTGACTTCCAGCCCTCCCTCTATGAGAGGATCCCTGGGCCCCTCCTACCCAACTGAGTGAAGACTATGGGTTCTACCACCCAAAACATCCCCAATCCATCATTACATGGTATCAACTGGCCTCCATGCTGCTCCTCAAATTTGGTAATCTTGTTCTCCCTCAGGACTTTGCACTGGCTGTTTCCTCCTGGAATGCTCTGCCCCAAAATATTCCTATTGCTGTTTACTTCCTGTCTTTCATCTCAAATGTCACCGTTTTAGTGAGGCCTTCCGCTCCTCACATTCCTTTTCCCATCACCCAGTTGTATTTTCTTTTTCTTTTTTTTTTTTTTTTTGGAGAGGTGGTGGGGTGGGGAGAGGGGACCAGGGATTAAACTCAGGGGCATTCAACTACTGAGACACATCCCCAGCCCTATTTTTTTGTATTTTATTTAGAGACAAGGTCTCACTGAGTTGTTTAGTGCCTCCCTTTTACTGAGGCTGGCTTTGAACTCTGTATCCTCCTGCCTCAGCCTCCAGAGCCGCAGGCCTTACAGACATGCGCCATCTGACCCGGCACCAGTTGTTTTTTCTTCAGAGCATTTAGCTCACAGATTATATTATGCAGAATGTACCATGTATGTGTGTCCCCAAAGGCCCCACAGAACTTGCTCAGTCACTTTAACAACATTATTAATCTTCACCTGGACAATCTTGGACAGAAGAAACTCAGACCTTTATGCTGCGAGAAAGATGCCCAATAACAGAGTAAGATCTACGACTAGTGGTCATCTCTGGGGCTATTCCAGCTTTGGTTGATAATGTGTTTATTGCATTACTTTAGTACAGTCGTCCTGCCTCGCCCCGCTCCCAACAGCCCAGCCTATTCACAGCTTTCTGCTCACTGCCCAAGGGAGGGGAATCCCTCTGCCAAGGTGAGCATCCAGAACACCTCCCTGATTCTGCTCCTTGATCTGGAGCCCTGCTTCTCGGTACCTTCCCTCTGGGCTAGATCCTGCACCAGGCCTGGGCCGCCCTTCCGGGGCTACATTCAAGGGTTATCCTGTTAATAAATAAGCCGGAGCGGCTGCCCTTCTACCAGGGCCTGTCGGTTGCTGTCTCCATCGGCCCGGGGACCTCTGTGCTCCCGGTCCCAACCCATCTGTCTTCCTGGGGTCTGTCTGCCCCTCTTCCCGCTGTCATCTCCTGCCTGGTCCCTGGCGTGGGGACGGCCCAGTCACCAGTGTGATGCGCTACGCGGGCCCCTCTCAGCACGAGGCTCTGAGGCATGAGTCCGCCTGTTGCGGCCCTTCCTGCGTGACTCCAGGGCGGGCGGGCGCKGCACTGGCTGCGGGCGGCACATGCGCAGGGAGTTCGCGCCTCCACCGCCACCTGGCTCCACCAGCTGTAGAAAGTCCCGGTACCAGAGTTTAGGACCCAGCGGCGCAAGAGGCGAAGCCTCTTCTACCCGCGCCAGCCTTTCAGCCTGCGCAGCACTCAGCACATGCAGCATCAGGCGACGCAGTGGCTGTGAAAAACCCTGCTCCACTGCTACACATAGGTACACGCCTGAGTCCTGGCGCCGCACGCTGCGCAGCAGCAGCCCCCGCGCGGTGCGCTCTGCGCGCTCCTCCAATAGCACCTGTTGGGAGAGGGGCAGCGTGAGGCTGCAGCTTTGGGGCCAGGAACTGAAACAAAAGGTCATTGGGAACCCAGGAGAAGCGGAAAAGGAGCACCTTCAGCTGCACGTTTGAAGGTGGGGTGAGGGGGTCTTCAGATAAAGTTCTGAACGGGGCAGGGTTCACCTGAATATGGGGGCGGGCCAGGGACCTAAATGGGCGGATCGAGGGCGGGCCCTTCTCCAGAGGATAGCTGGGTGGGTCAGGATACCGTGGGGCTTTACCGGGATACAAAGTGCAGGTAAGAGACCAAACATGACCGGGTGGGTAAGGGGTGTAGTTGGGAGGGGACTCATTAGCCTGGAGCTTACCTATATGTGGAATATAGGCCAAGGGCCTCCTTGGGCAGAGCGGGACCTCTCCTTAGGGATGTAGAAGGCGGGAAAGGGGCCAGCTTGCGAATAGAGGAGCGAGGCTCACCTGGGTATGGGATGCCTCCCCTGCACGCTGGAAGGTCCACTCCAGGTGAGCCTGCAGCGAGCGAGGCTCACACTCTAGAAAGGCGCTGCCACCCTCAACGCCGAAGACCTTCCGCTCCAACAGCGCTGGACGGGACGAATCTGGAAACCAGGAGAATGTTAAACTCAAGGAGGGTAGGGTGGGCTTGAGCATTTTCAGAGGGTTGTGGGGGCAGATGGAACACTCACCCCCCGAGCATAACATGCTGGGGTCGCCATTCCTTATGTCTTGCCGCCGGAACCGTCTGAGGGGAACATTGGAACCTCCATGAGCCCTTCTTTTTCCAGCCAGGGTCAGCCAAAGACCCTTTGTTTTTCCCTCCCTGCGGCTGGATCCCGACCTGGACACGGACCCGGACCCGACCCCGAGCTTGCTCACCTCTTGGCACTAGGCTGGAAGCGTGTGCAGGTGGCCCCGTCCCATGCGCAGTAAGGATCACGCGCCAAACAGCATTCAGCACAGGCGCGGCCGAGGGCAGCGCAGCGGTGCAAGGAGATCTGGGCCACTGCGCTCCGCGAAGCTATGTACAGCTGGTGCTAAAGGGTATGAGGGGCTCCGGGCTGACCAAGGTCGGTCGGTCCCGCATCTGCCTCCCATCAGTCAGAGATCCCGAGCCCCACTTGACAGATAGGAACACTGAGGTTCACTTAGGTCATATAGTCTAGCAAAGGCAGAGCCTATACTCAAACACCAGCTGAGAAACTACCAAAAGGGGCAAAATGGCTGGGCCTTGGGGCATAAGCTTAGGATGTCCCATGTCCCACCCACCCTTTTGGTCACTCACCCTCTTGGAGGAGATTTGCATGCTGGTGACAGCAACAGAATCCTGAGAGGGAGGAGGGGCACCAGGATTAAGGCTTAGTGAGTGGGTAAAGGGGCTGGGCGATTGGGGTCAGTGCCTCACCTCAAATACATGCAGTTCCTCCAGGAGCAGCCCCTCAGAGCTAGGCTGGCTACCCTTGGGAACTGAGATCACCTTCAGCACTGTGCCCACATCTGCAGGAATGAGAAGGGGGTGGAGGTGGCTACTGGTTTTCCCTGATAACCAGGACTGGGGTCTTCTGCCTTAGAGGTCCCACCATCAGCATAATTGGGTCATGAGGTGAAAAGTAGATTGGGACAATCAGGGTAGCATCCAGAAAGTGGAGCCACAGGCCAGGCAAAGAGGTGGAGATGAACATGAAAAGCTTCTACTACCAGGCCAAAGAGCCTGTATGAAGTCCTGTGGGTCAGTCACTGTGGCAGGACCTGACCTGTGCCAATGAAGAGGACGTCATAGTGTCCATCAGCAGCTGCTACACGATCTGCAGCGATTTGGGTGAAGGTATACCCAGCACCCACTTGTAGGAAGAGAGGGCGCCCCCCCATGGGCAGCACCGAGTTGTACATGAGAGGGTGGTTCCTAGCAAACTGGATGACATCATCAGGGAAGTCCTTGGTAGAGCTGAAGGTGCCAAAGGTCTTGCTGGGGCACTGGGGAGGGAGGAAAGAAGGCACAACAGGGTTATAGGCATGGGTGTTTGGTGGGCAGCCCTCCACTCCAGACCTCTGGGATTATGGAAGAGAGAAGGGCACTTCCAAATGGAAGAGCACTGCCCTGGGGATTTGAGCCTTACCCTGGGAAGGCTAGATTGAGCTGAGTCTGAAAGGGGAGATGTGGCATTCCTCTGAAGATCCGTGTCTGATAATAATGACCTTTTCCCACCCATAACAAAAGGAAGAAACCACATTCACCAAGAAGACCCCAGGACAACTTCTGTACCCTTGAGTACCCTTGAGGCTTTGAAGTGGGTTATGGCAGGAATACCCTAGCTACATACCATGCCAGGCCGTGGGTAAGGGACACGACCCTGATAGGACACCCACTGGTGTGTGGGCCCCTCCTTGTGTGCAAAAGGTCCCAGGAAGGCCCTGCGAACATCGTTCATGCTATACACACACACGGCAGAGCCCTGGAAGATGCCACTGCAGACAATGACAAGAGAAGAGTGAGGGGCCCCAGTGAGCCCAGCAGGCCTGAAAGAGAAGAGGGTGCCCCCTACCTCTTATCCCTCACCTGGAACTGGAGAAGACAGCATAGAGCAGTGGAGTCCTGCGGTCCCGTGAAGACAGCAAGAACACGTCCTCTGTATGGAAAGGGTCTACTTGGAGAAGGGTGCACAGCCAGCCTCTCTGGCCCAGTTAGGCTCCTGGAATCTGCACCCTTGAGCCTTTCCCCTATCATAGCTCCCACTCAAAGCACTTACGAAGCTGGTCGAAGTGGGTGTCGCCCTCAACCCCAGGCACTGAGCACACCAGCCGCGCCTTCAGGAACGTTGTCCACTTGTTGACCAAGCTGCGCTGGCCACCCACATCATTCTGCCAGGAGAATCTCAAGGTATAAGAGTGGGGCAAAGGGGCAGGGTCAAGGTTGCCCGGGGAGTGGCCCAGGGATTCCTCACCCTGCAGATCTGACCAACTCGAGACACAGTCAGGCGTCCCACTGCAGGTGCTGCCTCCACGGCCGACTCCCGGAAGAAGAAGTAGATTTTGTCATCGTCAGGGTTCTCACTCTCCGGGATCCAGAAGACCTTGATAAACTTGGGTTCTAGCCGCAATGGGAGGCATAATGTTGGGGGCCCGCCAATTCACTACCTGCCCCCTCTGCTCAGCCAGCAGCTACACCAACAATAGCTTCTGACCACCCAGCTTCCAGGATCTGCGATGCAAGGAACAGCCACAAGGGGGAAGCAGAGTCCGTGGCTGCCTGAGCCCGCCGGCAGGGAAAAAATCCTTGGGACCTCAAATGGAGCCCCTCAGAGTTCCCCAGGCACGCAGGAAAGGAGGAAGAGGAGATGGAGAATCTGGTTTCATCTTGGCTACTGAATCTTTCTCAGGACCAGATCAGATGCTCCCTACTCCTGCTGCATCCCATGCTCTTAAAATAAACTCTTCCATTCCCTGACAGTTTCCATCCTTTATCATTGCTATGGCCACCAGCCTGTTTCTTGTTTCTGCCTCAGGGCCTTTGCACTAGTTGCTCTCTCTACCTGGAATGCTCTTCTCTCAATTCTCTTGGCCGGCTTTCTTGCACTTTGAGAATTAATTTATACCTTCCCTTGGCAAGGTGGCTTCCTTCCCCCAACCCAGTATCCTTTTCCCTTCTTCTCCATTTTCTCATCTACCTCACTGCTGCTGGAATTTATCATGTATTTGTTCTGAGATCTGTGAACTCAAAGAAAGTATGGGCCACACCTATCTTATTTGCCCCTGTCACCAGTATCTGGCATGGGACTTGATTATGGTAAATACTTGTTGAGACTTCACTGTGCCCATTGCTCACTTATTTTATCCTTGCTTGGGACCTGCCCTGTGACAGGAAGGCAGCCCCTGCCCACTAGCCCCACCAGCCTCTCACCGTTGAGCCAGCGGGAATCATGTGGCTCTGTTCGGAGACTCGGACGCTGGCCCAGGCTGCGAAAGATGGTAAAGTCCCGGCCCATGAGATCTGCTGCCACCCCTGAATACAACTCCTCCCCTGCAGATAGGGCAAGAGCTGCTCAGCCAAGATGAAGGCTTTGGGGATAGGAGGTTCTGGGGAGCTATAGGGGCTGTCACTCCAGGAGGCTATGGGAGAATTCCTGGGATTCTCAGGAGGCATTAGAACCTGTGAGGTTCTAGAATTTTTTTTTTTTTTTTTTTTTTTGGTTCTGGGGATTTAGCCCAGGAGCACTTGACCATTAAGCCTCATAATTGGGTCATGAGGTGAAAAGTAGATTGGGACAATCAGGGTAGGCAGAAAAGGGGTCCAGTGTGTATAGTGTGTGTGTATGTGTGTGTGTGTGTGTGTGTATTTTTTTTTTTTCCAGACAGGGTCTCACTAAGATGCTTAGGGGCTTGCTAAGTTGCCAAGGCTGGCCTTGAACTGTGTCAGCCTCCCCTGCCACTGGGGAGGCACCTATAGGTGCCCAGCAGGTCCTAGAGTTTCTGAGGGGTTGTAGAAGTTCTGTTGGGGTCCCAACCTTTGGACTCACCCACCAGCACGGAGGCAGCTCGATGCTTGGGGTCATATGGACTCTTCCCCTTGCCATCCTCAAGCCTTCTCAAGTCCAGCCGGAGCACAGGTTCCTGAGAAGCAGTGGGAGTTATTACTGCTAAACCTTTCTTCCCACTCTCAACCTCCCCCAGTGCCCAGATCTGATCTTACCTCCTGCTGGTGGCCCACCTCCACAAATGCACAGGTTGGGTGGAAGGCCCCTGTGCCACATGCCAGCAAGTGGGTATGGTTATAGACGTGCAGCAACTTCACGAAGTTCATGCACTCAGTCTAGTGGGCAGGCAGGGTGAGAGGCAGTGAGGGAGGTGGTCTTAAGGGATCCCAGTTCACCAGGGGGGTCCTCACCCCTTTCTTTCTTCTGTATCAGTTCAGGCAAGGGGCAACAGACAGAGTGTCCTTGATAACCAGCCCAGCCCAGCCCAGCCCTGACATGGTGGTTACATGGAGAAGTATAGACCTGCACAGCCCCCCATGATTCAGAAGCCCCCAAGAAGAATCACATGAGCCTCCACCCTGACTCACCACCTCCAGATCTCAGCCACTTTGACCTCCCTGCCCTCACCCCAGTCAGAACAGGCAGGCCTCTGTCTTAGCACTGCCCTGTCTCTGGGGTGAGAGGCCAGCTCTCCCCACTCCCACCCCAGATAGCCAGCAACACTCACACCAATGTCCTTTCCTGCCCAGTTGCACTCCTCTCGCCATTCCACAGGGGCCGGCCAGGCCAGCTATAAGGAGGAGGGGAGAATGGAGAACACAGGTCAGAGATAGTCTCTATCCTGGCCGTGTCTCCAATTAGGGATCCCATCCCTTTTCTGTAGGCAGTGTGGAAGAGGGTCCTAGGGCTTTTGCCCTGGGCAGTGCTGGGGTTAGGGTCTCTGGCACCTTCTTGGCCCTCTTGCTGATGTTGTCCAGGCTGAGGGAGGCCACATGGTTTTCGGCACCCACAAACAGGCGTCCTCGCTCCTCATCTACCAGCAAGGCTTCATAGCAGCAGGTCCGCTCCAGCCTGAAGGTCCGGAGACCATGCCAGGACTGGAGTTCTGCAGGGGGGGGTACACCACTGAAGACTCTCATGCCATACCTCCCCCAAAGCTTCCCCAGGCCCTGCTTGGTTGTTTCTCTATGGACTAAGGTTTTACGTGTGACCTAGCTCACACACCTGTGCGCTTACATATGTGTGAAATTACACTCGTGAAGACAAGCCCACCCAGGTGCATGTGTGGAGTTACAGGGTGGGCGGTGCAGCCCCCAGGAAGAGGAAAACAGGTTGAGAAAAGTATGTTCAGACACATGGTGGTGTCTCTGGGTGAGCGCACTGGGAGGCCAGGCTTGTGGACGCCAGGGTTCTGGGGGGAAGCCAGGCATGTAGGGACAGCCAGAACCCCAACCCCCAAAAGTCAGGCTGAGGATTCCTTCCCTGTCGTCATCACATCACCAACCCGAGCTCAGCAGAACTGCCTACCTGATTCCATTGCCTAATAACCACACCTCCGTGTAGGGGGTGTGAGAATGGGGCTCTAGTGGCCCCAAACCTTGACTTCCCTATTTCTCTTCAGAAGAAATATGGCCTGCTTGGGGTAGGGGATGAGACAGATACAAGGTCTGTTGCTATGGGGACAAGAGGGGTCGTCCTGGGAAAGCATGAAGAGAATGTGGGCAGAGAGGTTGGGGAACTGAGGCCAGGACAGGGTTAAATGAAGATGGCCTGAGAATGACCCCGGGTCTGGTGATAGGCACACCCATGGGGCAACAGTCAACACAGAGACCCACTATACACACTGGGCCCCTTTTCTGCCTACCCCCAAGCTGGGCCCTGCTACCTGCCAGGTGCACCTACCTTGAAAGGAGAGCCGAAGACGTGGGGGGCTGGGGGCGGCACCCCCCAGCCCCGCTGCCCAGAGCAGGGCCAGGCCAGGGATCATGGCGGCGGCCTCTGTCCGCCCCATGCTGGCAGCTCAGGGCACTCAGGGTTCAGCAGGCGTGTGTGGAGGAGCCTTGAGCTGCCCTGGACTCTGCCCCAGGATCTGGAAGAGAAGGAGTCGGCAGCACAGCAAGCAGTTAGGGCTGGAGGCTGGGGGGAGTCCCCAGGGATCAGATTACAGCCCCTGGGGAAAGAGGCTGGGGGGTCGCATTCCGCTTCTGAGCTGAGCCCTCCCTTCCTAGGGTGCCCTGCCTGGCCACAATCACAGACACACCCACGCTGGGCACACCCTCAGGGTCACCCTGCACTGGCAGGCACCCGCCCCACCACGTCACCCTCCTCAGTAACCTCCCCTCCTATATACACACTCACAGACATTAATTCACAAACACTGTGCACCACTTCATGCCAGCCTGGGACCAGGATACTGGAAGACACCAACAAGGCCCCTGTGTGTTAGAGGCAGAATGCCAACAAGGAGTCAGATCCTGTGGTCGTTTCAGAGGGTGCCAAGTACAATGAGCAAAACAAGCCGATTAAGAGAGTGAAAGTGACAAGAGGGATTCAGGCCTCTGGAGGTGGATGTGTACTCACAGACCATAGAGAAAACAGAGGTATTTGGGGGCTAGAGCCAAGATTGTGTGTGCCTATGAATGTGAATGTGTACCAAGGGTACCTTTGTGAATGTGCACATGTGTATAGTGTGTGTGTGTGTGCATGTGTGCACAAATACAGTATGTTGTATCATTCATGTAGTTATGGGTTGAGTGTGCAAATGTGTGTATGCGTATCTGTGTGTCACTGTATGCACATCTATGCAATGTGTGTGTGATGTGTGCACATTTTACGCACGTGTCACATTTGTGCATGTGCAAGTATATATACACACACACACAATTATATGTGTGACTCAGTGGGCATGCAAGTGAGCAAATACAAGTGCAGCATCAATCACTCCCTTCAACTCTGAGATATCAATGAAACCCATTCCTCAGAGCAAGATGTGCTGCCCAGGAGAGCCAGAGCCTGGGTCTTTGCAATGGGCAAGCAAGCATCTCAGCTTCAACTAGGGACTGCCCCATGCCAGACCCAGCAACCCCAGCTTGGCTTGGCTGCTCCCTCTGCACCCCAAAGGGTATAAGGATTAGTCACACAGATTCTATGAAGTCAGTCTTTGGACCCAAGGGGTATGGGGAACAGGGTATCAGCTTTTCACCCTCAATCCCAGGCTCCCGATGGGGCTGTCCTTCCCTCTCAGAGCCTCCACATTCCCCCTGAGCCCCTCAAGTTTACCCCCTCTTTGAGCCCCTCCACTGAACCAGAGACCTTCCTCAGAAGAGGCAAGGCTCTGGTTGCTACCCCCACCTTACTTCCCAGGAGCTAACCGGGCAGGTTCTGGGCACAGGACCCCTAGGGGTGGGACATGGTCCCAGGGTGAAATTCAGGAATGGAAACAGGTGCTGGGGCAGGTCTCAGGCCCCTCCAACCACACCCCTGCCCCACTCCCCAGCTCCTGGACCCTTCACAAGCCAGGACCCCCACCTCCCTCCTTTCATCTGCTGACACTTGCCACTGCCTCTTCTCCGGTTCTAGAGGTCTTCAAAGCCAACACCTGCTACCTTCCATACTCCACCAAGAACTCAGCAAAGACACCTCACCACCCTAGTCTCTTCTCACTCTGGGGAAGGGAAGAAGGCTAGGGGCTGCAGGGCACCCTCTGACGGCTCCTTTAAGGAGTAGCCCCCGCCCCCACCAGGCCAGCCACCGCCCCATAGCCGTAAAGTTTTCAGGACTGCAGGGCGGATCGGGTGACTGGGCAGGCAGCCGGGACCAGCAGCGGCAGGCCAGAATGGAATGGGCACAGGGAAGGGTGGGTAGGGATGACCCCTTCTCTGTTGGGCCTTAAGGCAAAGTGTATCCCAGACGACACCAGAAGGCTGGTGGCCAATCAAGGCAAAAGAAGAAGCAACAGAGAACTCCCCCCACACACCAGCTTCACGCAGTTCTGTGCAGCAGGCAGGGGCAGGGACAGTTCTCTACTTCCTCACCTGTTCTCCACAGCTGGGGTACTTGAAGGGATAATGGCAAACTGAGCAGCTGCCTTAGCTCCCAGGAGCCTATTGGGTTGGGAGGGCTAAAGGTCAGGGGTTCTCAACTGGAGATCTGATAAATCTCTTAAACCTCAGCCCCAGAACTTCCTCACCAAATGGACCACCTAATACTTCAAATGGCTGGCCCACAGTGGCTGCAATGATAACCAGGCAAGGGTGTATGTGTGTGTGTGTGTGTGTGCATGTGTGTTTAGAGCTGGAGAGGAGCACAGGAGTACTGGAGGTCCAGTGAATCTTACTTTCGCACTATGAGGTGTGGGCCCATACTGAGACCCCCATCTTGACCAGTGGTCCTACATCAGTGCTGGGTCCTACATCAATGCTCCCTAACTCCAGCCTCTCTTCCTAGATAGGAGGAACTGTGCCCATCAAACCCAGAGCCAGGTACCTGAGGGAGGTTTGTTTTTATTTTTGGTTTTGGGTTATTTTTTGGGGGGGGTACGAGGGATTGAACTCAGGGGCACTTGATTACTGAACCACATCACCAGACCTAGTTTGTATTTTATTTAGAGATAAGGTCTCACTGAGTTGCTTAGCACCTCACTTATGCTGAGGCTGGCTTTGAACTTGCAATCCTCCTGCTGTAGCCTCCCAAGCCTCTGGGATTACAGGTGTGTGCCACTGCACCCAATTTACCTGAGGGAATTTTACAGATAGGAAGGGGCTCCTGCCCTTCAGTGCCTCAGTTGGGAAGGGCCTGGGGTCTTGTTCTGTAGCTGGCTGTATTTCCACTGTGAGAGGTACTGTGGAGGGGCTGAATGTTGTCAATGGCAGAGTACAGCCCTCAGATCCACCTGGGTGAACTTACTAGGGCTTGAAGATGGGCTTTGACCCCAAAAGCATACTCTTGCTACCTCCCCAAGGCTGGTCAGCAGTTTCTCAGGGGTCATTGATGTGGGCACTTCAAGTGTATAGAATTTTGTTGCCTGTTCCCTGATGCTATACACCTGGAAAAGGACAGAAGTATCAAAGGACTCATCTCCAAGTCCCCTGGAGTCCATTGCAGGGCTATGCACCTCCTTCCTGTGCCTCAAGAACAGTGTTCCTGGACTGACCTGGCCAGCTGGTAGRTAAATAATGGGAGCCAGTCCGGGGATCAGGGACATTCAGGATGACGACTGGAAGAATGCTTCTCTGCCTGAGCTCTTGGGCTTCTAGGGTACAGCTTTGTCCTATTCCTGGACTAGCTGCTTCTCCCCTTAAACCTGGATAGCCTCCCCTGGCCCCATGCAAGCAAACAAAATTCTTCAGCTGTTTACAATTTTCCACCCCAGCAGCCAAGACCAGCAAGTGCCTTTGAGGCCCCTACCACCCCCACAGTGTCCCCTATCTGCCCTCACTACCTTCAGTTCCCCAGGACCAGAGTCCCAGTCTCTGTTTCAACCCTGCCCTCCCACTACATTCACACTGAATAATGGAACCAGGACTCCCATAATCTTTCCAACAATTTAGGACTGACTTCCAAGCCAAAGAGAATGGACTAATCTCTGGCCCACCTGAGCAGCATGTGTTGCCCTTCCTTCTCCAGATCCATTTTTTTTTTTTTCCCTTGAACAGGAAGGGAGGTCCCAGGGAAGAGCTCAAATTATATTTGCCCCTACAGGGTCTCCTTTCTGCTCCTTAGTGCTGGGTCCCAGTGTGACAGGTCATGGGTAGGAGTCCCCATGAAACCAGTACTCCAGGGGCAGAGTCATTGTTTTAGAGTCACAATGTTGCTCCTGAAGCCCCAAGGACTCTGGAATCAGGCAGCCTGAGCATGGGTCTCAACAGAATTAGCAAACTGGAAGAGGCAGCTGAGGTCTCTCTCCTCTTCTGCCTATACCCCTGCCACCCTAGGTTCTTGGGCCTCTACCTTTGCTGAGGCATCCATGGGGATAGACCTGCCTGAGTTCTTACATTGGCACAGCCTAACAATGTCATAGCTTTTTCTTCCAGAAATAACTGGATTGTTGTGCCGAATACCAGCACCTGCCTCTCCACACATCACCAGCCAGGCCTCCTCCTTTATGTCCTGCCTGGACTCCAGGTGATGTGGCTGAGGTAGGACACCCATCTGAGGAAGGCTGCACCAATCATCCAGTGCCCAGCCAGGGCTAAATGGGATCTGTTGCTGTCCACTCACACCTGTTTTAGCAATCAAGGAGCCAGGCGCCACGTCATAACCTTTCCCTGTTGGCCATGTGGGCACCAGGTTATGCTGCCCTGAGCACTTACACACAGTGAGGGAGGCAGTAGGGAATTGTCATGGAAAGTTCCCAGACACCTAATTTTCCTGACACTCTAACATCTGTCCCAGCAGATTTCCAGGGAGAGGAGGGTCAGGGCATTTTCCCCACCCACCCCCAGCCTGGTCTCCACACTCCCCAGAGAACCCGGCCCACCTTTTTTCGAAAGATCAACTCCTCCCCTCTTTGCCGGTTCCCCTTCCCTTCTGAGGGACATGTCAGAGCTGAGGTAGAGGGGTTAAGGGAGGGGCTACCAAGAACCCTGGGCTTTTGGCTGTGGCCCTCCCCCCATCGGCTCCGCCCCTGCCCTCCCTCCGCCTCCTGCACATTCCTCCCAAGCTGAGGTCAGCCCCTTTGGGATGGGGGAGCCCCCCCCACTACCAGCCACATCACAGCTCTTCTCTCACTCCTGTTTTCTTCATTGCCCAGAAGGGTGGGGTGGGGAAGAGAGGGGGCTGGGGGCAGGGCCTCCCTCTCCCTTCTCCAGACCTTGCAAAGACTGGAGGGGGCTGTACCAGGAACACTGCAAAAGTGGACTCAATGGCACTCTATACTCATTAGCAGACATTAACATAAATACCACATTCCCTAAACTGACTAAAGAGGGCCTCCCAGAGGCTGGGGATGTAGCTCAGTGGTAGAGCGTTTGGTGGGCAGAGCACATAGGAGAGACCCTGGGATCAATTCACAGCACTAAAAAACAAAGCCTCTCTGGGGGCTCTGTATGCTCTAGTGGGGGTTGGGGGAGAACCTGACTAGGAATCACTCTCTTGGCAGGATTGTGGGTCCTCACACTCTGTCACCAGCTGTACCTTTAGCTGAAGACTGCATCTCTCAGCTCACTCTTATTCCCCTGCAGCTGCAGCCACAGGGCCAGGCAGGTCTGGTGCACAGTGGAGGCACTGAAGATTACTCTGTTGCCACCTCAGCTCTGGGCACACCAGGCCATTGGGGCCTTCAAAGGCCTGGAGGGAAACCCTTCTTTGGTATCTCTTCCATCCTGGCCTTTCAGCCCTCTCTCCCTCTCTCCCTCTTTCAGGCTCAGCCTCTCTTCAACTCTAGTGACCCCCACCCCAGCACAACTACTTTCTGACCCCTGTGCCAAGATCAGCCTCCTTCCCTTCCCTAGGCACTCCTCTGACTTTTTTTTTTTTTTTTAAAGAGAGAGTGAGAGAGGAGGGAGGGAGGGAGAGAGAGAGAGAGAGAGAGAATTTTTTTAATATTTATTTTGTAGTTCTCGGCGGACACAACATCTTTGTTTGTATGCGGTGCTGAGGATCGAACCCCGGCCGCACGCATGCCAGGCGAGCGCTCTACCGCTTGAGCCACATCCCCAGCCCCTCCTCTGACTTCTTACTTCACAAGTTCCCAGACTACCCCTAGTAGTGTCCAAGCCCATCCCTACTGGGATCACTCTCAGAGAGGTCCTTCAGTCATGCTGAATATAGGAGAAAGTCCCCACATCATCTACTTGCAGCTTGAAGTCTGACCTCTTCACCCTACTCCCATGCTGTGTCTCTGGTGTAATTCTGCCACTCCATATGTCCTCTCCAAAATACCCTGCTCTCAATTCCCTGACTCAGAGAGTTTGATGGGTGCATGCTGGGTGCCTGGGGACTGCCTTCTACTCTGAGAGTTCAAGAGGGTTAGGAGGATGCAAATCCCTATAGAAAGGATATCCCTAGGATCTTCTTTTTTTTTTTTTTTTTATTGTTGGTCGTTCAAAACATTACATAGTTCTTAATACATCATATTTCACAATTTGATTCAAGTGGGTTATGAACTCCCAATTATACCCCATATACAGATTGCTGAATCACATCAGTTACCCTTCCATTGATTGACAAATTGCCTTTCTAGTGTCTGATCTTCTTTAGAGCATTAGAAAAAGGGATCAGGATCAGTGTTTGGGGATGGGCTCAGATTCAGAACTCAGATAGCTTGTGGGATGCAGGCTCCTAGTCTGGCATTTCACAGCACCCTCCCCAGCTCAGCCCCTGCCAACCCTTCCACTTCTCCAGCTGCCCCATTTCTGGGATGCATCAGCTCTTTCAGTGCCAAGTTTTTGCCTGGACTGTGCCCTTAGTCCTTTAGGGCCCTTCCCTTAAAGAGTTACTAACTGCATTCTTCCTATTTATTCACTATGGGACCTCAGCTATCAGCCTTCCTCTGTGTAGTCCCAGACTCCTGTAAACCAGGTTCAAGCCTCAGCCTGTAGGTTCTCCCACTGTGGGGAGAGCAGCAGGGGTTATCATCACTGAGGACTCCAGGGCTCAGCAATAGGGACGCAGGAGAGAGCAGGCCTGTAGGAAGCCCTTCCACTTTCCTGGGTCTTGATGGGGAACTGAAGGCATACCTCAGACCACTCCTTGACCCTGCTCAGCTCCTCAGAAATTGACTCCCCTCACCCCAGTGAGGTCAGAAAGCAGAGCCCAAGGGAGGAAGGGCATACCAAACTGATTTTCCTCCCAACCTAGATTGTGTGTGAAGCTACATCTTAAGCAAGGGAAAAACCAAGGCAAGGAAGATTAAAGGACCCATGGCCTTGCCTCTTCCCCCTTGGACTCTGGTGCCTACCACTGTGCGATTGAGGCTTAGTGCCTGGTAGGCATGCACACACTTGTTTGCACAGCTGGACACATAGCCCAGTTGGCAGGAGGCCATCACCTTGAGTGGGTGACAGGGGCTGCCTTCTACTTTGACAGTCCAAGGGGGTTGGGAACATGCAAATACCCACATCAGGATCTCCTTTAGGGCAGTAGAAACAGGGATAGGGGTCAGTGTTTTTGGATGAATTCATACTCAGAACTCAGCCAAGAGATGCTACAGTACTGTCTTTGCCCCTCCTAACTCCTGGGGGCTACTCAGACCTAGTTGGCCATGTCCAAGGCCAGGCAGCTGTAGTCAGGACCTAAATGCCCCAGCCTGTGACTGGTTTGGCACTCTGGATCTGAGGGTGTATATGGAAAGATTCTGAGGAACTCTAAGGGGGTGGGCGGGGTAGGAGGGTTTCCTGATGTCAGAAGCCATGAGAGAATGGAGTATGATGGCACATACCTATAATCCCAGTGACTCAGGAGACTGAGGCAGGGGGATTGCAAGTTTGACACCAGCCTCAGCAATTTAGTGAGGCTCTCAGCAACTGAGGGAGACCCTGTCTCAAAAAATAAAATTAAATTAAAAGCTGAGTATGAAGTTCTGTGTTGTAAAGTGGCCCTGAGTTCAATCCTCAGTACCAAAAACAAAATAAAACCAACAGCCATGGGGCTGCCCTGGAACAGTGAGGGGTTCCTCCAGGTCCTGGCAGGAAAGACCTCAGCTCTAACCCTGTGGCTGGCATCAGGGCCTCGACCCACCTGGGCCTGGGGAACTGAGAGCCTGCCTGCCTGCCTCTTCCCACAGGGTTTCCCAATATTCTCCCCTCTTTAGGCCTCTGACTCTTAGAGCTTGTCACTTTCTCTCTTCCCAGCTGTTCCCCTGTCCCCAAAATGGGTTAAAAATACCAAGGCTGCCACCACATCAGTAGCTCAGAGCAACTATTTCAAGTGGGCCCAGCCCTCTTTGAGGCAGATGAGTCTCGTGGCTGTCCCCAAAGTCTGGGACAGCCCATTCTACACTGAGAACATGAGCTTGGGTCTCTACCTGACTCTGCATACCCTGCTAAAAGGTCGTGGGTTTCATAGCTGCAGCTGCTCAAGGGTGTGGACAGTATGATGAACAGTCTTAGGTTGGGAGAGCTCTGGAGACACAGGGACAGGGAGCACTGACATTCAAGGGATGAGAAATGGCCAAGTCCCAACACTCCTCCAGGCAATCCCAGGCAATAGGGGATACCCATCTCATGAAGTTCCTCCAGTTGGGGGGTGCAGGATACCTGGGCAGCCCCTTTAGCCTGCCACCCCCCCATGGCAGGGAATTTCCCAGCTGTCAAAGACAAGGCAGAATTGAGAAGCCGCCCCCGCCAGTGCTGGGACAATAGAGCCTTATGCCCTCGAAAATCCAGCTGGGATAGGAGGGCCAAGGGCAGGTGGAGGCCTAGCTGTCTGCACCCAGGGAAGCCCTGCTTGCCAGAACCCCACCCAGACCCACTGGCAACTCTGGTCCAAGGGGAATTCTATCCAGAGCCCTGCATGGCTCACCCAAGGAGGGAGGCACTGAGTGCATGACAGGCAGACAATGTCAGCCCCTCAATGGTCCCTCTGTGCTGGGATGCCCCTCAGGACAGAGGGAAGGAACCATCTCCGGCACCCGCTTCCTGCTGGGCGGGCATCGGAACACTGGAGCAGCTCTCCCCACCCGACTCTAGCATGTCTGGAACTAAGCGGGGTCCAGGCCCGAGCCTCTGAGGGAAAGCAGGTGTCCTGGGATGGGCGCGGGTTGTTTTCCTTGTCAGTCAGAGGTAGCGGTAGCCATATTGGCCCATTGGAACTAGGGCCAGGAAGGAGGAGGCTGGGGATGGAAGGGGGGCGCTAATCTCCTTCCGACTCGGGCGGCCACAGGCTCTCATCTCCTGCCAGTACCCTAGGATCCGCTGCCGCGGGGCACCGGCAGGTGTGTGGAGGCGGAGCCCGAGGCCCAAGGCCCAACCCCTCCCTCTCCGCCTCCGCGGCGCCGACCCCAGCCCGCCACCGGCGCAAGCAGCTTTGTCCGGCCGCGGGCTCAGAGCCGCCGCCGCCGCCGCACAAAGCTGCCTTTGTGCCGGCAGCCTCGGCGGAACCCGATGACGTCAGCCTCCGGACCTGCCGGGAAGCGCCGAGCACGGATTGTGGTGCCTCCTGGCGGCCGGAGGCGGAAGCGCTGGCCCTAGAACCCCACCCAGCTGAGACCGGCCTTTCACTGTGTCTTCCAGGTGCTCAGCCCTCAGAGGTCTAAGGCGCTGGAGGCGCTAGAGCGCTTGCCTAGCAAGTGCGAGGCCCTGGGTTCGATCCTCAGCACCACATAAAAATAAATAAAAGGGGGCTGGGGATGTGGCTCAAGCGGTATTGTGCTCGCCTGGCATGCGTGCGGCTTCSATCCTCAGCACCACATACAAACAAAGATGTTGTGTCCGCCGAAAACTGAAAAATTAATATTGAAATTCTCTCTTTAAAAAATAAATAAATAAAAGGTATTGTGTCCAACTACAACTAAAAAATAAATTTAAAAAAAAGTCATGGAGCCTGGGGTTGGCACATAAGGCCCAACCCACTGATATCCATCACTTCAGTTAGTTTCTTGCAACTTACACAT